TGTGGACAGGTGTCTTTTATATAGGTAACAAAATGAGATTAGCAGCACTCCCTTTAAGAGACTGTTTCTAATCTCAGCTTGTTACCTGTATGAAAGACACCTGGTAGCCAGAAATCCTGCTGAATGATAGGGGATCAAATACTTATTTTCCTCATGAACATGCAAATCAGTGAAAAATTTGTTAGACATGCTTTTCTTTTGAATGTTTTGTTGCTATTCTGTCTCTCAGTGTTACAATTCGATTTTTAGACTGATCATTTCTTTGTGAGTGGGCAAACTTTCAAAATCAGCAGGGGATCAAATACTTATTTCCTTCACTGTAAAATATGAATGCTAGTAGGAGTTCGTTCACATAATGCATATAATGTACATTTTACTAACATTTTTGGGTAAAATGGATGTTTAATTTGTCCCTTTTAAATTTTGAAACACTGAGGACTACACTAAGACCCATTTCTTGTGAGTATTACACCATAATCACATTTGTCTAGATATTCATCATGTACTTACGTCTTATCTGAATTCTTCATATTCCTAATCTTTTCTTCCAAATCATCAGCTGCCTTTTTGTACCTGTTAATAGCCGTCCTCAATGGTTCTACAACACAAAGATATCTGTATAAACAGTTGCTAAGAAAAAATTGTATCCTATTGGATCATATTAGGATGTACAAGTTTGTTTCAGTAGTAATTGAAAATCTTTCAGTATTTGTAATCCACTGATACCAATGATGGGACAGTATTCTTTTCACTGATATCAGTGATAAGGCACCATTCCTTCCACTAACACCAAAGATGGAGCCCTAATCTTCCACTGATACTAATGATGGGGCACTATTCCTTCCACTAACACCAAAGATGGAGCCCTAATCTTCCACTGATACCAACGATGGGACACTATTGCTTCCACTGACACCAAAGATGGAGCCCTAATCTTCCACTGATAACAACGATGGGACACTATTCCTTCCACTGACACCAAAGATGGAGCACTAATCTTCCACTGATACCAACGATGGGGCACTATTCCTTCCACTAACACCAAAGATGGAGCACTAATCTTCTACTGATACCAACGATGGGGCACTATTCCTTCCACTGGCACCAAAGATGGAGCCCTAATCTTCCACTGATACCAAAGATGGGGCACTATTCCTTCCACTGACACCAAAGACGGAGCCCTAATCTTCCACTGATACCAGCGATGGTGCACTATTCCTTCCACTGACACCAAAGATGGAGCCCAAATTTTCCACTGATACCAACAATGGGGCACTATTCCTTCCACTGACAGCTATTATGGGGCACTATTCCTTCACTGATACCAATGATGGGGCCCTATTCTTCCCAATGACACCAATGATGGGGCACTATTCCTCCCACTGATATCAACAATGGGGCACTATTCCTCCCACTGACAGCTATTATGGGGCACTATTCCTTCACTGATACTAATGATGGGGCCCTATTCTTCCCAATGACACCAGTGATTGTTGACCAGGGCATTTTCAACTCCCATTTGTCAGTCTGACCCCCCTAAAGTCTGAACCAAAGTAAACTGGCCCTTTGGAAAGTTTGGAGACCCCTGACACAGACTATCCAAATAGTTTTAGCACTTTGTTACGCACAACTTCCAAAGTCTTTTTTCTTGAGGACCAAACCATCACTTCTCTGCAACTGGAAGCTGCCAACCAAAAAATATCTATCCATTCACTACCATAGCCGCATTGCGATCTTTGGTGCACTCCAAACCTTGGAAATTTACTTTTTCTCCTGTGGCTTCATATTTGAAATAAGTACCACAGCTGCACTGGCCACCCGACAAACTGTTTATGTTACCAATAACCAGGAATACTAATCTACACCAGGGGTCCAACATAGTTACATAGTTAGTCTGGCTGAAAAAAGACAAAAGTCCATCCAGTTCAACCATTAAAAAAAAAAAAATCCTATACCCACAGTTGATCCAGAGGAAGGCAAACTTCACCACTCCACCACTTTGTTTTTCTATGTAGTTTTTACTGTTCTTTGTGCTCCTTGTTGCTGTTCTAGCGACCATTGTCCAATCTGAGATTTTTACCCTCACTTCTTAGCCACCAGGACAGGATGTAAGGGGAATGCTCTCCAGCAGAAATAAAGGCAACGATAAAAACTTGCCAGTGGTTCTAACCTTCCATTTTCCACTCCACCCAAAAAAATAAATAACAGTTTTGGCTACCTATAGGATGGAGCTGTGCCTTGTATATTTTGGTGTTGACAAATTTCCCACTACAAATCCTGGAAAGCAGGTTCCACACATCTACTAATATTTATGGTCATCTCATATTTTCTGAGAACTTCATTTAAAGGATTTGAACAGGCATTATCCAAATGTTCACCATAGTTCTATTCCCATGACCCAACATTATTTTCTTTTTTTACCTAGTTCCTGCAGTGAAAAACTTCCTGTTATTGCTTCATGTGAAGTGGGCACCAGACTTGCAAACATTCTTGCAAGGGCACACAGCGTGTGGGCAGGCTCTTGGGAGGTCAAGGTTGATGGGAAAGAAATCAGTCTATGCACATACAGTTGCAAGAAAAAGTATGTGAACCCCTTGGGATTACGTGGAGTTTTGCATGAATTGGGCATAAAATGTGCTCTGAACGTCATCTAAGTCACAACAATAAAAGAACACAGCCTGCTGAACATAATACTACACAAACATTAGATGTTGCCATGGTTTAATTGCACATAACATGTAAACATTCACAGTGCAGGGAGGAAAAAGTATGTGAACCTTTGGACTTAATAACTGGTTGACCCTCCTTTGGCCGCAATAACCTCAACCAAACATTTCCTGTAGTTGCAGATCAGACCTGCACAACGATCTGGAGTAATTTTGGACCACTCCTCTTCACAAAACTGTTTCAGTGTAGCAATATTCTTGGGATGTCTGGTGTGAATCGCTCTCTTAAGGTCATACCACAGCATTTCAATCGGGTTGAGGTCAGGACTCTGACTGGGCCACTCCAGAAGGCGTATTCTGTGCTGTTGCAGCCATTGTTTTGTTGAATTACTTGTATGCTTTGGGTCATTGTCCTGTTGCATCACCCATCCTCTGCGGAGCTTCAGTTGGCGGACAGATGGTCGTACGTTTTCCTGCAAAATGTCTTGATAAACTCTGGAATTCATTTTCCCATCAATGACAACAATCCGTCCAGGCCCTGAGGTAGCAAAGCAGCCCCAAACCATGATGCTCCCTCCGCCATGTTTTACAGTGGGGATGAGGTTTTGATGTTGGTGTGCTGTGCCTTTTTTTCTCCACACATAGTGTTGTGTGTTCTTCCCAAACAACTCAATCTTGGTTTCATCTGTCCACAGTATATTTTGCCAGTAGTGCTGTGGAACATCCAGGTGCTCTTTTGCAAACTTAAAACGTGCTGCAATATTCTTTTTGGACATCAATGGCTTCCTCCGTGGTGTCCTCCCATGTACTCCATTCTTGTTTAATGTTTTCCTTATTGTAGATGTGTCAACAAAAATGTTAGCATGTGCCAGAGATTTCTGTAGGTCTTTAGCTGACACTCTGGGATTCTTCTTTACCTCATGCAGCATTCTGCGCTGTGCTCTTGCAGTCATTTTTACAGGACGACCACGCCTAGGGAGAGTAGCAACAGTGCTAAACTTTCTCCATTTGTAGACAGTCTGTCTTACCGTGGACACATGAACATCAAGGCTTTTGGAGATACTTTTGTAACCCTTTCCAGCTTCATATAGTCAACAATTCTTGACCGTAGGTCTTCTGAGAGCTGTTTTCTGCGAGGCATGGTTCACATCAGACAGTGCTTCTTGAAACCAGTAAACCCAAAACAGGTGTGTGTTTTTTAAGGGCAGGACAGCTGTCAGCAACACATCCAATATCATCACACTGATTGGAGTCAAGGTTGGCTCACTCCTGTCATTAAGTCATTAAGCTAGGGCCTCACATACTTTTTCCTCCCTGCACTGTGAATGTTTACATGTTATGTGCAATTAAACCATGGCAACATCTAATGTTTGTGTAGTATTATGTTCAGCAGACTGTGTTCTTCTATTGTTGTGACTTAGATGATGTTCAGAGCACATTTTATGCCCAATTCATGCAAAACTCCACGTAATCCCAAGGGGTTCACATATTTTTTCTTGCAACTGTAGAGGCAGAAATGGTCAGAGAAAGATGGAAGTCTGCAGTTCAGCTGACAACACTGCTTTGGATTTTAGTGTAGCAGAGGCAGTGTTGTCACTGCTCACTACAGGAAGTTAGAAGCTCTGCCAAAAAAGTTGCATTTGAAAAACCGCTGTGCAAATACCATGTGGCATAAATTGCATCACCCACTATTTTATTCTCTAGGGTCTTTGCTTAAAAAAAAAATTTAATGTTTCTGGGGTTTAAGTAATTTTTTTAGCAAAAAAATTCTGATGTTATGTGAGAAGTGTCGGAATTGGCCTGGTCCTAAAGTGATTAATGCAGGGAATGCATTAAAGTGTTACAAAACCCCCGGACCCTGCATTCACTATACCTGGTCTTCCACAGTACACACAACATGGAAATGCAATTAATTTGGTAAATATAAACTGCTAAATACCTTTTCTTATCAGCAGTTATCCTTCTGCTCTAGGAGGATGCAGAAGCCCTGACCTCTGTCTGAACAGTGCTGATTGGCCCTGTGATGATCACATGCACTCTTCCAAGAAAAAAAAAAAAATATCTCTAACAATACACACCAAACTGAGCATGTGCATGAGGCTACGGGTTCAGTCTGTCTTATCAGGTGGACATTTGAAGAAGAGGAGGGGCAGAGAAGACAGGATCAAATGGCCATTTTACACAAAGCAGAGGATTAACCCCTTAGGTTCCACAGTGAGTATAACAAGCATGCTTTAATGCATACACAGACTGATTTTACTATTGTGGGTTTAGTAACTCTAAGGTAAAAATATCCAGGCTTTAGAACCACTTTATATCACAGTTTAGAGGTGTTTAGCTTTTCCGTCTCTGGTACGTTGCCCACTTACCCAGTGAGATATTGTACTTTTTGAGGTTTGCCTGAAAGTTCTCTGCTTGGCTATAGTAATCCTCCAGGGTTTCCACGTAGTCTCTTACTCCTAGCGGCAGGATGAGGCTGTCTGAGAGTCTCAGTAGAACATTCCCAGCTGTGCGTGCCACTGTCTGATGGCTGACAAAACCTACAAAAACAGTGAGGAGCACAAATTGGCTGAACTTCACATTACTGCAGCATTATGTGACCTACATCAAAATACTCATACTATTTATAAAGCATTCATTACACGAATGTCAGAAACATTCATGCAAACTGAATAGAACTTCACCTCATTTATTTCAGTAGATTCATTCCTTTATCGTCAGCTCCATCCAGTGGCCAAATGTGGTATAGTTTCCTGAAATACCTCAAAGAGAAAATATACTGCATTTTGGCCACTAGATGGAGCTGATGATACAGGAATTAATCTATTAGAAAAATTAAAGGAAAATTTCCATCAGCTTGCATGAATGCATTTGGCATAAGACAACCCTCACCTGATGTTTGTTTCTTTGGAGGATGACCTGATTTATGGCTTGAGAGCAGCATATTATATGTTTCTGCTTCAAAAAAACAAACCTGACAGGGTTTTCAACATATCCCAACTCAAACCTGAATAACGGAAAATTGAATGACAGATACCTACCATAATTTTCCTTTCCTGACAAGCTCCATGTCAGTACAGCTGGGAGCAGGGCTCATACCCAGATGTGCTGGCATGGAGCCATCAAGAAAAAGAGGTTGTCTTTCAAACTTTCACCTCTTCAGCCAGCCACCGATATAATCTCTTCAGAATTTAGTTTTTTTGTACCTGTACTATTGAAATTATGGCTTTTTAACACTTACCTAATGGCAGGACATCAGGGACCAGTAAGAGTTATTTATCAAAGCCTCTGAAACAACTGTCTACTTTGTGCTGTCCTACTCATTCTAGTTAGGCTCGGTTCAAAATGCTGTGTCCCCAAAGTCTTGCGCAGGGGCAGACTGACAACTCATGGGGCCCCCAGGCAATAGGGGATCATGGGGCCCCTGTGTCCTTGCCCAAACTCAAAAAAGCCTATGAAAAAGGTACCAGAGGCATCTCATGGGGCCCCCTACTGACCCCGGGCCATCGGGCACTGCCCGAGTTTCCAAATGATCAGTCCGCCCCTGGTCGTGCGACTTTGTATTGCGATTTGACGCAACTTTCATGCAACTTTCATGCGATTTTGGCAAATCATAACAATACAGAGTGTGACACATATTATTGAACTCACAAAACCCTCTGAAGTTGCAGCCAAAGTGGCAAAGACAAAAAAAATTACTATGTCTATGGCACTCATGCCACAAGGAAGAAGCAGAAAAGTAGTGCAGGAACTTTTTTTTTTGTCATTGTGACGTGAGTCGCAGCATTTAAAACGGTACCCATGGAAATGAATGTGTTTTGACTTATCATGTGACTTTCTGTGTTGCACATCACAGCCGGTTTGCATGAGAAGTCGCAGCAGTGTGAACCAGGGCTAATATTCACACTTTCATGTTCCAGTTGTCAGATCCAGTTGGGCCTCTTTACAGCAGCACAAGCAGTTTACATTTCAAAGACATTGATAAATGAGGCTCAGTAGAATTTTAAAGCATCTGGCTGAACTAGCAGGTATATACAGAATGGGGTACTGTACTCAGATTTTTGGAGGTATTATATGAATGGACACCGTTATAATATACACCAAACTGTCTGGTTTACCTGGATCAATATATTTAGCAGTATAATCAAATGTGTCAAAGGCTGTATGGTAGGCAGGGTATATTCGAGCTGACGTCACTCTCTGCGGGGTTAAAAAAAAAAAAACAAAATGAGGGTCTGAAATAATAAATGAACCTTATACAATTGGCACTAAAATTAACTTGTATGGATTCAAATACAGAAACTGCCATTGGTGACCATCTTAAAGCTGAAGTCTAGCCGTCTCTTCAGTCTTTCACAGTTGTACCGGCTCCTCTTCTGTACTGATATTGCTTACTCTGATTTCACTGCACACTGTGAGCTTCATAAAATGTACATGAGAAGCTGCAACAAGTCACATACAGCCTACCTCATTTCCTGGCTGGAGAACATCCAGCCTCATCCCCTTTCATCCCGACCTGACTGTCCCTGGCCCACCCTTTCATTCACTGGATTTCAGTTCTATCAATCATGGAGATCCAGCATCACACGTGGATGCTATATATGGTGATCTGCATAAAAATACAGTCTCTCTAAGACAACCTTTCTAAACCTTGAAATAATTTTCAGGTCTCTGGGAAACCCTACTAAAACCAAATAATTGGAGGTTAATGAGAAGAATGCTCCTTACATAGGTGCCCTTGGGAAGAATGTCCCTGACAGTGGTGGTCAATGGGAAGAATGCTGCTTACATAGGTGGCCAGTGGAAAGAATGTCCCTGACAGTGGTGGTCAGTGGGAAGAATGTGTTCAAATGAATGCTGAAACTCCTGCGCTGGACGATGAGCTCCACAATGTCAGTAACCCCACATGGAGTACTTTTTGCGAATGCAAGCCTTGCTGCCCTCAACGGACCAGGGAAATCCAAAGAAGCTGTGTGCAAAGAAACAAACAGAGGGCGCATGGGCCTAGCGCATTACCTTCTAAAATTGAGATTTATTGAATAAAAAGTAGTATACTTACAAAGGAATAAAATCAAAGGCACATCACAAAAAACACAGCATGGTCCAATCTCCCTAGACAGTGGCTGTTGGGGGACTGTAGGCCTCCAAATTACTGATGCGTTTCGAGGCAGAACCTCTTCCTCAGAGCCAGCTAAAAAGGCATCAGCCATTTGGAGGCCTACAGTCCCCCAATAGCCACCATCTAGGGAGATTGGACCATGCTGTCTTTTTTGTGATGTGCCTTTGATTATATTCCTTTGTGAGTATACTACTTTTTATTCAATAAATCTCAATTTAGAAGGTAATGAGCTAGGCCCGTGCGCCCTCTGTTTGTTTCTTTGCACACAGCTTCTTTGGATTTCCCTGGTCCGTCGAGGGCAGCAAGGCTTGCATTCCCAAAAAGTACTCCATGTGGGGTTACTGACATTGTGGAGCTCATCGTCCAGCGCAGGAGTTTCAGCATTCATTTGCTCATGCTTTTTATATTAGTGGGAAGAAAGTCCCTGACAGTGGTGGTCAGAATGCCACTCTTACAGACAACCAAAAAAGATCATTAGTGTCATGCTACTGGCTCTACCACGTGGTGTTGGCTCTAGAATTGACACCATCAAATAAAGGTCAATCAGCCACAGCTCAACAAGCTCCTCTCAACCCTAGAGGAACTTTAGTGCCGAGAATAGCTGTCTGGGCACTCCCACTTCTCCGCTGACATCCACCTGTAGGGTAGGTGTCTCTTGTAGTTCCTCTGGTAGACAACTAGATGCCACTATAGCTTGAGCATACGATTTGGCTTAGAAGTTGTTTAGGTTAGGTGCCAAACCTGGGTAAGGATATATTAACCCCTTCATGATGGAGTGTAAAAAAACCTTAACGTCCAGATGCAATTTTACAACTTTGACATGTGTAAACCTGTATGATTTTTCAGGACAAACTGGGCTTTCATTTGGTGGTAAATGGTAATGGATATCTCCTGATTTTTTTATTAGCAAAAGAAAATTGTTTCGAAGGGGGTTCGTTCTTCATCAGAGCTCATGAAGCTGATGAAAAAGGGACCCGCTTCGAAACGCTTCAGCCTCACTTTGAGAGTCTACCCTCGTGATGTGACTCGCACTGGTTATACTCTCCCAAGTTCCTTTGAAGACCTTTAATGCTTGTTATACTTCTTTGTAAGTATTATTCTTTATTCAATAAAATCACAGCTTTTACTGAGGTAATGCGCAAGGTTGGTGCACTCTCTTTTTGTTTCACTTTACAGTATCGGTCGGGCTTCCCCAGCCTAGTTCTAGAGCTGCACAACCTTCCATGCATTGGTGGTCACAATTTCTCAAACTATCTCAAGGCTCCCTTCCATCCTTCCACCCCTATTCTGAGTCCTAGAGCGCAGGAGGTGTTGTTTCTGTTTCCACTGGGGTTCTTGATCAGTACCCGAGTCATCAGATCACTGTTGATCAGGGGGGCAACTCTGACATGGAGAAGTAAAGCCCTGCCTCTACCAAGATGTCTGTCCCACACAGTGCATAGTGCACAGTACAAAAGCATGGTAAGTAAGCAAAGGGGAAAAGATCAGCTGCAAGCAGACATCAGGTAATAATAGCGACCAGGGACAGACTGACCATTTGGAAACTCGGGCACTGCCTGAGGGCCCGGGGTCAGTAGGGGGCCCCATGAGATGCCCCTGGTACCTTTTTCATAGGCTTTTTTGAGTTTGGGCAAGGACACAGGGGCCCTGTGATCCCCTATTGCCCGGAGGCCCCATGAGTTGTCAGTCCGCCCCTGATAGCGACTATTCCTTAGCCCTGATTGCCTTTTTGGACACAGATTCCACAGTATAAGTCATTTTTTAAAGCTTTCCCTTGGTGACATATACTGATTTTACATTTAAAAGTGTAATGATTTTATTTCTGTCATCTAAAACAGCAACATGAGAATTCTGCAAGCGTTTTAGGATGGGAACTTACCCTGTCATATGTGTATGCCAAGTCCATGCATGTAATTCCCAGGTAGTGTAAAAAGGGAGCATAATCACTTCCAATTCCCAGAGTTCCAATTCTACAAGTACAAAATGCACAGGTAAGACGATGCTGTGCAGTCACCAATAGGAAGTTCTAGCTATAGATAAGGTCCTACAGGGCAGATATAGCACCCCTGGATCCTACAGCAAGTTGATGCTCAAAATAAAGCACATACTGAGGGATGAGGCCGTACTGCGGGCTGGTGCGATTTGAATGACTCTTCCAGTTATCATACACAGTAAGAGAATTTGATGGAGTTTTCACCTGTGTAAACAAAATATGAGAAAGTTACGTTTCACACTACGGTGCTGCGGTTTGGCCGCAACATGGGTTTACCCCTACTTTTCATAAAGATAACCTGCGATTTCCCATGGACTTTCTATTAGGTCATGTATTTTTGGCACATTTTCTGAAGGCCCACCAAAAATGCAGCATGCAGGACTATAAGTGCGTTTTCAGAAAATGCGGCAAAAAAAGTGTGACCTAATAGAAAGTATATAGAAAGCTGCGAATTAACTGCAAGAAAACTGTGGGTACACCCGCGACGCAACCAAACCGCAGTGCGGCACTGAACTGGCCTAAACGTTGATTAGCTTTGAATCTTCCATGAGGATGACTTCATGAGGCAATAAGGCTTTGTGACATGCTCCACTTTTCTTAAAGTGCTAAGAATGAAAGCGTAAATAAACCCAAACACAAACATTTTATATATTGTAGCTCACCAATCATTAGATGTGGTGGCTGCATTACTTTTATTTTTTCCAAGCTTTTATTCCTTTATTTTCACCTGGTTATCCAGCCAATAACACACCTTCTGTGTGAGGATGACTTCATGAGGCAATATGGGCTTTCTGACATGCTCCACTTTTCTTAAAGTGCTAAGAATGAAAGCTTAAATAAACCCAAAAACAAGCATTTTATATATTGTAGCTCACCAATCTTTGGATATGATGGCTGCATTACTTTTGTTTTTACAAGCTTTTATTCCTTTATTTTCACCTGGTTATCCAGCCAGTAACACACCTTCCGTCTTAGAGTGGCTACAGTCAGGGCTGCTGTTAGAAACCACGGAGTTTCTAACAGCAGCCCTGACTGTAGCCAATACAGCCAACCTGACATGGCCCCCCCCTAAAGAAAAACACACACACAGTTTACTATGCTTCAGTTATGAATGAACACAGTGAGTGTTCGGTATAAATCATTGTGTTCATTCAGAAAAGGAAGGGGCTGGTAAATGTGACATATTTACCGGACCCTTCCCCCATTCTCCATTCTGAAGGATCCTATTGTGCACTTGCAGCTGCTAGTGAGAAGGAGAGGAGGGTAGCCGGCAGCACTGTGGGGGGGAATGACACTGGGGGACCTGGGCAGCAGGGGGAAATGTATGTTACACAGGGAGGGTGATAGGTGCACCAGAGGGGCAATTACTGGAACTGATCCCCTGTATGGCTCCTGCTGCAGCAGTTAAAAGATAGCAAGAGGGAGAGGAGAAGAAGCCAGCTTTCAGTTGCTGCAGAGAAAGCCACGCAGGGGATTGGTTCCAGTAATTGCCCCCCCCCCATGCCGATCACCCTCCCTGCCCACATCCTATTCACCCAGCTGCCTGGCCCCCCCTGCTGGCCTGGGCCCAGTACAGGAGGACTGGTGGTACCCCCTTATCCACAGCCCTGGCTACAGTCACTCCTGCACTGTATCTATGGAGGAACAATGTAGCCATCCTTGGGCAGCAGCATTTCAGTCATTGTAGGTGGTAGTATTAGATGGACTAGTAGATTTAGATGGACTTCATGTAAGTAGTTAAATTAAAGAAAAACTCCAGTTAAAGTGGTCGTAAACTCTCATTTATATTTTTACCTGCAGTAATAAAGCTTACCTGTAGGTATAATGAATATCTCCTGAATGTACACCGTTTAGGAGATATTCTACAGAGCTGCAGCACATGCGTTCTGAAGGAACGGCATACTCGTACCATTCCTTCAGAGCTGTGTGCCGTGGCCGAAACTCCTGCGTGCATGCATGGGAGTGACGTCATCGTCAGCTCAGCCATTCAAGCAGCTGCAGCCCGGGAACCCAGGAAGAGGAACGGGTGAAGATGGAAGCCCTGTCAATGGTGACAACGGGCCACTGGAGGGCTTCATTTTAAAGTACGTTTCACATAATGTGCTAGTATGCAGGGACTTCATGTATGCTCTGAACCCATCCATCACAAGGTGTTGGAGTGGTGGCGGAGTATGGGAATGGGGGAATCATGTGTTCAGGGGCAGTGTTCTTCCAAAAGACTCTTTCACTTTCCTATAAATAGGCCAATGAGCAAATTTCCAGAATATATTTATGGAAGGTGACCCGGTCATCCCACATGTAAAAAGCTTTGTGAATTCTGACATTCAATGCCAAGTGTAAAGTTTGGTGAAGGCGGGATTATGGTGTGGGGTTGTTTTGCAGGGGTTGAGCTTGGCCCCTTAGTTCCAGTGAAGGGAACTCTTAAGGCATCAGAATACCAAGATATTTTGGACAATTTCATGCTCCTAATTTTGTGGGAAGAGTTTGGGGATGGCCCCTTCCTGTTCCAACATGACTGCACACCAGTGCACAAAGCAAGGTCCATAAAGACATGGATGAGCCAGTTTGGGGTGCAGGAACTTGATTGGCTTGCATAGAGTCCTGACCTCAACCCGATAGAACATCTTTGGGATGAATTAGAGCAGAGACTGCGAGCCAAGCCTCCTCCCCTGACATCAGTGCCTGACCTCACAAATGTGCTTCTGGAAGAATGGTCAAACCTTCCCATAGACACACTCCTAAACCTTGTGGACAGCCTTCCCAGAAGAGTTGAAGCTGCTATAGCTGCAAAGGGCGGGGCCAACTCAATATTGAACCCTACGAACTAAGACTGGGATGCCATTAAAGTTCATGTGCGTGTAACGGCAGGCGTCCCAATACTTTTGGCAATATAGTGTATGTATACACACATACAAACATTTTGCTTTCTATTTCTTTTTTAAACTGAATGGCTTGTTCACATATACTTTAAGTGATATTATGCAGCAGGGGTGGACTGACCATTTGGAAACTCGGGCGCTGCCCGAGGGCCCGGGGTCAGTAGGGGGCCCCATGAGATGTCCCTGGTACCTTTTTCATAGGTAGGCTTTTTTGAGTTTGGGCAAGGACACAAGGGCCCCATGATCCCCTATTGCCTGGGGGCCCCATGAGTTGTCAGTCCATCCCTGTTATGCAGCTTCTTCATTTTGTAAGCCTAGCCTATGTTGTACTTTAAACTGTTGCTATGACTGCTGCCCAAGGTTTCCTGGTTCAAAGTGGCTCTTTTCTCTTGCAGTATCTTTTGGAGTCACACTTGCATGCAGGGACTAGAGTCATGTCTCCATATACCTACAGACATCATTAGAAATGCACAATACAAATACACGTTCTAGGATGGCAAGGTACTGATCTTTCCTTCTCCCCCTCCCTTCTCCATGCTAATAGACTGACTCAAGACTTCACTGTCAACTGGTAACTCTTTTCTGTATTAAAAAAAAAAAAAAGTTCAGGGAAGTAGCACTAAGGGAGCATCAACCAACAGTATTGAAAATTGGTAATTTTACTGTAAAAAGGCAATGCGCAATGTGTTATACTAAAAAATGTTGAGGATTTAACACTACCTTAAGAAACAAGTTTTAGCTGAACCAGGGTTTTAAGTTTTTAAGTTACCTGTTTAGATGCAGCAAAAACAACATTTTGTGCAGGAGGTGTTCCTTGTACCCTCAAAGTTGCATTAGCTAAACAGAAAAATGGTGAAAGGACAAAGCATTAAAAAGGGGATACTATATGTAAGTCTTATCTGAACAAAGCAAGCAAGCAATAAACATAGCAAGAAACTACTCTGCTGCTCATTGTTCATTTTGAGTGGCATAAGACTCCAATAAAAATAGATCCTTCATTTAACCATAACCTAATCTGATTGATTAAAATGTTGCAACAGGTTTGGTGGGAAGGAAATCCTGGCTGGCTCATGCATATAATGAGGTTTATGCGCCCTTCAAGCAGCACCTGATGGAAATATGTCAGTGGAGGATGTCCTTGTGTACAGGGGGAAAACTGATCCAGAATACAGTAGGAAACAGGGCTCTGGAGAGGAGTAAGAACTCATCTGTATGAAACATGGGTGCTCGTGTAAAGGCATATAGGTGAATCATCAGAGATGTTCTAGGAGGCTCAAATAAGACTCTAGAGCAGTGATGGCGAACCGCTGGCACGCAGAGCCATCTCAGTGGGCACGCCAGGAAGAAGAGGAAGATGAGCGCACACAGACCACGCACACTGACCGGCCATCCAGATCTCGTCCACACTGGACCCCCATCAAACTACATCTCCCACATGTCTCTGGGGCCAGGGTGGGTGTGGACGAGAGGAAACGGCTCCTATGTGGATCTGGCATCAAGGGTGATGTAGCCGGGGATGGGTGTGTGGAAGAGAGGAAGAGGCTCCCACACTGCTCCGGGGCCAGGGGCAACGTGTTCAGCATGGATGGGAATGAGCTGCTGGGTTGGAAGCCACACCGACACTGCCAGAAGTGAGATTAACTGCTTGCCAACCATGCTATAGCCAAAAGATGGCTACAGCATGGTTGTCTAGTATCTGGGAGGGCGTCCCAGAACGCAAACCCAGTGGCACACACCCTGCGCTGCCGGTGATCACTGTGTCCTACGGATACAGCTGATCACGTGATAAGGTAAAAGGCCAATCACAGTGTTGGCACTTTGAAATAAAAAAGTTGGTTTTGTGTTGCAGTTTTGGGCACTCGGGCTCAAAAAGGTTCACCATCACTGCTCTAGAGGAAAATTCTCTGGAGTGAAGCTCTGGAGTGAAGAACTGAGGCTCTAGAGAAAAGAACATTTCAGTGTGTGCAAAGGTTCTGAGAGGCAGACCTGAGACAATAGAGGAAGATACATTGTATGTGTTAGTCTTTGGAAACATTCTGGAAAGAGTAGCTGAAGTGCTACAAAAGCTGTTGTACACGTGTGGGTCTGTGGGGAAGTTCTGGAAGGAAGAACCAAGGATCAAGAGGAAGACATGTGTAGCACCCTCCTAGATAGGTGCTAAATTAGGTAAATTTAGTTCTTGCTCACTATAATCAGGGCAGCTGCATGTGATTAAGTAGGTCTGTTCTGTGTTTCACTGGCTGCAGGGTTGATTCTTATGACTGTCTGGCTGGAAATATTCTAGTAAATAGAGAGCTGGAAAAGTCAAATTGGCAGCTGAATATTTATGCATCCTTGGCCAATCCCTGGGGAGAGTTGCCCAAAATGGTGGCTGGGAGTGTGTATAAATACTCTTTTGAGATCTGTAACATAGGTGTCCTGTCCCTGAGGAGGAGATCACAGCCTAGGGGGGCTATTTGCCCCATAAGCAACTCTGCCATTGTCACGTAGCTTGGTTGGAAGCCAAGCTGACAGGAGGGCTTCCCTTGTAGCTTTGGTCTGAGCACCCCTGAATGTGATAACAGAGGGTGCTGGTAGCTTGGTAGCAGGTGACTGCCAGGGTCAGAGCTGTAGTCAAGATGAGCTAGGGTCACACACGATGGGGCAGATATGTGGTCAGGTAGCAGGCCAAGGTCAGTATCTAGGAAGCAGGCAGAGCAAGGTCTAGTAACAGGCGGAGGTCAGCACACAGGGAAGTAGGCAGAGAATAGTTAAAGACAAGTCAATGTCAGTATCCAAAATCCACAGAGCAAGTTCAGGAACTAGCTGGGTCAGCAATGGGAAATCAGTCAACATAAGCAGGGACACAGTAACTCAGATCACGGGGAAGCAGGGGCGGGCTGACCATTTGGAAACTCGGGCACTGTCCAAGGGCCCGGGGTCAGTAGGGGGCCCCATGAGATGCCCCTGGTACCTTTTTCATAGGCTTTTTTGAGTTTGGGCAAGGACACAGGGGCCCTATGATCCCTATTGCCTGCGGGGAAGCTGAAGAACATCCAATGATTAGCACACACTCCCCTTTAAATAGACAGCTTGGCGCCAATGCTTGTGGATGTACACGCTGGCTGACAGAAATGTACCTACATGTCAATGCATGCTGGATATTAGTCTGTGCTCATCTGTGTGGTGGAACATGTGCACTAGCATTAGCTGCAAAGGAATGAGCATTTTTGCTGCGCATCTTGAATGAGCTTTAGCTGTAATTTTAGCATTAGCTGTGTGAATGAGCATTTGCCACGCAGGAATGATCTTTAGTTGTAACATTATTATTAGCATTAGCTGTGTGAATATTTTTCCATGACAGTTTGCACTTCATCAAGGCCCCAGCTGGGCTAACTGGAGGGCCTAGTGTGCTGAAAGTTGGTGGAGCTTACTGAAGGGCTTTTCATCTGAGGATCTAGTTTGGTGTCACTGGGAGAAGTGTCTGGAAGATGTTGGAAGGAGGCAACAAACTATCTAAGGACATTAGTGAGTACAGACGGGTGTGAGAGATCCTAGAGACTTTGTGCTGTTTCCACCCCTTTGGTGTTATAGAGTCAGCTGTGTGTAAAGAGGGCATTGTGTCTGGTGTACTGAAGAGCTCAGTTTATTTAATTCCTAAAGAAAGGGTTCTGCTCAGATTTCTAAGAGAAAGATTATTATCCTCAAGTTGATACTAAAAGCTCAGTCCACCATGTACTTGTGCAAGGACTTGGCTTATAGTTCTGAAGAAGAATGTTTAGTGTCCTCAAATTGCTACTAAAGGTTGCTGGTGTATCACTCAGTTACCCTATACACACTATAGTTCAAGTTCTACAATAAAGCATCAGAAAAGAATATCCCTAGTCTGTTCATTGAGCCAAATAAGTGATTGTGACTGTGTGTCTGGCTGCAGGGCAATTCCAGGAAAAGACCTAAGGGACTTTTAATACTGCAGGCACCTATGGGGGTACCACTACACATGCATGTGAGGTTGTAGAAAGGCTCTGGAAAGAAGAGCTGAGTCACCCATGTAAGATACATGTGTGTCTTTGGGGAGGTGATGGAAGGAAAAGCTAAGGCTCTAAAGAAAAGCACATAGGGGTGGCTCTTTATGGAAGAACTGAGGCTGTAAAGATAGACATACAGTATGTGATGTGTGAATGAGTGGGGAGAGTCTAGATGGAAGATCTGGGGTGCTACCAGAAGACAGATTTGTAAGTAGCGAAGGTTTGGAAGGAAGAGCTGAGCCAATAGGAGGAACAGGGGATTCTTTAGAGTCAGGGTTTGGAAGAATGAACCTTACCACTAGAGGAAAACACACGTCATTCTGTGGGGAGGCTTTTGCAAGGAAAGTTGATAAACAATTGTAAGACCCATGTGTAGGTGTGTGGGGAAGGCTCTGGGAGGAACAGTTAAGCCACTAGAGGAAAACACATCATTTATGAGTCTGAAGGGAGGTTTAAAGAGGATAAGCTGAGCTACTAGAGTAGAGGAAGACCCATGTGTGCATGTGTGTGAGGTTCTGGGAGGGAATGTTTAGGTACTCGATTAGGATATGTGCATGTGTGGGAAGGCTTTGGGAGGAGTCACTAAAGAAAGACATATGAGTGAGTGGGTTGAGAGGCTCTGGGAACTAATGCTGAGGTTCTAGACCAGTGGTCTCCAAACTGAGGCTGGATGCGACCCTTTGCTTGCCTTTATCCAGCCTTTGAGGCATTATTCCTGCCACTGACACCAACGATGGGGTATAATTCCTTCCACTGAAACCAATTATTTCTCCCCCTAATACCAAAGATCGGGCATTGTTTACTTCCACTAGGAACAGTCCAGCCCCTCTGAAGTCTGAAGGACAGTAAAGAAATAAAGTTTGGAGTCTCCTGTTCTAGACGAAGAAGTGTGTGGGAAAGCTCTGGGAGGTAATACTGAGGTACTAGAGGAAGACCCATGAGCGAGTCTGTGGGAAGGCTCTGGGAGGGAATGCCGAGGTCCAACAGTAGGGCCTGTATGTAAATGTGTGGAAATGCTCTGGAAGGACAAGGTGAGTCACTAGAGAAAGACACATGTGTAAGTGTGGGGAGGCTCTAGTAGGAAGGGTTGAGTCACTAGAAGACACAAATGTGAGCTTTTATGCAATTCTCAGAAGTAGAGCTGACATATTAGGAGGATCAGGGCCTCAGACTGGACATTCCTAGAGGTACAGGTTGCAACCTATCCTCCCTGAAGAAAGCAGATAAGACATTCCAACACTGCCAAAAACCTAGGCAATTTGGTGGTCATTTGGTGACTTTCAATCTGCTTTAAAACAAATGATTCTTTCTGATCACTACTTCCTTTTGCAGCAGCCAACTTATCAAAAACTGGGTGGAAATCGATGGATCTCCAAAATGTCACACAAAAGGTATTTTCGGATATTTTTTTCAGTTTTTATCACACAATCACCTGAAATGTTAGATAGAAAGCTGACTGGAAAATAACAAAATAACAAAATTATTTTGTGTATGACCAAAAGAATAGTGAGCAAAGTAATACCTATTCTCAAATCAAACTTAGAAAGCTCCAAAGGCTCTGCCTGTACAGTTTCTACTCTTCATTGAAATGATTCAGTGCAGCTCAGACTATACCAATTGATATGCATTCCCTGTCTTCAGTAAAAACTGTCAATATCTAAAGTAAAACTATAGGCAATGCTTTATTTTCATTTTAGATAGAATAAGGGAGGGTTATAACCCCTGTCAGTTTTTTTCCCATCTGTGTCCCATTGGGGGATTTAGCTTTTCTTCCTGTCCCATAATCAAAACAGAAAGTGAAAGAAAATCCCTGCAAATTAGAGAATTCCTTGGGGCCCCCAGATCACACCCCCATTGGAAGATTTCCCCTCTATTATATTTCTGGGGACAGCCCACAATTTGGGAGTGTCTTTTACTTTCACCTTCAATGGTAATGGTAAACTGAAAAATTAGAGAAAGTGACTCTCCCTAACGTGAGCACAGAGCAATAAAAAACCTGACAAGTGTTCTAATAAAAGTGCAAATTACATGCACTTTATTTCCCTGCAGTTTCTTAATATGAAACGCCAAGAGGCCATGGCCTGTCTATGTACATATAAACGCCTGAGGATTAGATAGCATTTTACCATACAGACACAATTTTGTTAGAAAGTTTAGCTATTTCTCACCATACACAGAGATATCCACATTAATGTAGGCTACAGTCCTGTCTCTTAATTTGCTGTAGTAGTCCTAAAATAAATAAAGAAATGTGCAGTCACACAGCAATGCATGAAATGCCATTCAAAATAAATATAGTAATTTAGGAAATATTAATCAAAAGGTCACTTTTTCTGTTGATGGAGCAAAATGTTTGTGGACACTTGACCATCACACCTATCTACAAGTATGTATTTATTTCTCCAAACTGAGTTCTAGTGTGTAAAGGATGCTGCTATTTCTATAGCATACTAAGACATTTTAGACATTTCTATGCCTTCAACCCCTTGAAGGCCTTTTTCTGTTCCAGCATAGCTTTCAAAGTTAAGCACAAAGCCAACTCCATAAAGACATGGCTTGATGAGTTTGGTGTGGAGGAACTCAAGTGACCTGCACAGAGCCTTGACCTCTGTCTTGCTGAACTGTACTGAACCCTATTAGTAATACCCCTATCAGTTGTAACCCTATCAGTATCTATTAACCCTATCACTAGTAACCTTACCCTATCAACTCTACTGAACCCTACCTTAACACTACTGAACTGAACTTTGGTATGAATTGGAATACTGAGCCCCGTCTTCTTGTACCTGACCTCACACATGCTCTTTTTGCTGAATGAGCCCAAATTCTCATAGTCACACCCTTGTGGAAAGCCTTCCCGGAAGAATGGAGGCTGTAATAGTTAAAACAAGGGGTCCAACTCCATATTTTAGCTCGGTTTGAGAATGGGTTATTGAACAAGCTCATAGAGGTGAGATGGTCAGATGTCCACAACACTTTTGGCAATAACATGTGCACTTACTGGCCACTTTATTAGGTACACCTTGCTAGGTTGGACCCCCTTTTTTCAGAACTGCCTTAATTCTTCGAGGTATAGATACAACAAGGTATTGGAAACATTCCTCAGAGATTTTGGTCCATATTGACACGAGTTACTGTTGCCTTTCTATCATCTCAAACCAGTCTGCCCCATTCTCCTCTGACCTCTGACATCAACAAGGCATTTTCGTCCACATAACTCCCAGGTACCTGTCAAAATCGGGTACCCGTTCCCCAATGGTGCCAATTCTTAATGGGGAACGGGGGATGAAGCATTAAAGCGGAACTTCCCCTGTTGGGTGGAACTCCGCTTTAAGTTCCTCTCAACTTCCTCCCCATCTGCATTGTCGCTGCAGTGAAGCATACAAACTGCACCTACCTTTAAGTTGGGAACGTTTATAAAAAGTGACCGTTCACCACTCATTCACTTATCTAGTCCTCTGTCATTCACGTTTATTATATTAGTGGTGCTCTGCAAATAAGGGTTTTGTTTTTCCATGAAAACCTAACGAATAAACACAACTAGATAATGCAACAAAGGTCAACCCACCTCCAATTCAGAATTTGTTGAACAGGAGCAGCGGTTTTACCTTTCCCTTCACTTTCTCTGTTAGTCCTGGCGACTATTGTGAGAGAATATCCATAATTGTGAGTTGGTACCAGAACAATAATAGAGGGGATATCTTCCAATGGGGACACATTTCCCAGTGACAACTGTCTAAGAGGGGATTTCTTGATTTGGATACATCCTCCTAGATTGTAAGCTCTAACGAGCAGGGCTCTCTGTTTCCTCTTGTACCAAATTGTATTTTAACTGTAATGTCTACCTTCATTTTGTAAAGCGCCGCGCAAACTGTTGGCACTATATAAATCTTGTATAATAATAATAATAATTTCCTCATATTTCCTGTTGTGTCTACAGGCAAAATAAATCTCCCCAATATGGTGAAAGAAAACAGAAAAATCTTTCCCCTACTTCATCTAAAAGAAAATAATCTAACCCTTCCCTACTTCATCTAAAAGCAATAATGTTGCTGAAAAACTTACCTCAGCAAACTCAGTTGAACCAATGAGTCCAAATTCTTCCGCACCCCAGCTGCCAAAAATGATGGATCTTCGAGGACGCCACTTTCCTACAAAAATACCATTCATGAAGAACAAGACTGTAATCGCCCCTGACAACGTGACCCTGAAGGCCACCACCACTGTTCATGTACTTTTTTTGGCTTTATATGGCGCCATTCTGTCAGTTGGCCACTAATGGTTTGCCATATATTTTGACATGATGTACATTAGTTCACAAACATAATACCATTGTTAAAGCCCAAGCCTAGATAAAAATGTTCAGTTTTGAGAACAGAGGGAAAGGCTTAGTCTTTGGCAATTTTTATTGCTGTCTGTTGGGGAGATTTACAATTGTATCTTGTCAGGCACGCTCTGTAAGGTACAAGTGAAACCTAGCGGGGGGGGTTTTCCACACGTTTCTGTGCATTTTTCGCACATTCCCACACACCTCATGTAAGGCAGCTCATTCAATGGGCTCCCCTACACGCAGAAAACGTGAAGAAGTCCTTGACTCTCTTCTGAAAATGTGCTACACCAAACCGCATGCGTGGGGGTGTCATTAACAAGTAACCACTTCATAAGTGGACACTTTCACCCCCTTACTGTCAAAGCCAATTGTCAGCTTTCAGTGCTGTTACACTTTGAATGACAATTGTGTGTTCATGCAAAACTGCACCCATATGTAATTTTTATCATTTTTTTTTTAGAGAGATAGATTTTTTTGGTGGTATTTAATCACCACTTGGTTTTTTGCTAAACAAACGAAAAACGACAGAAAATATTGAAAAGACCCCCAAAAACGTTTTTCTTAGTCTGTTATAAAATGAACGCAGGTCACCACACATGTGGGGGAAAGGGCAGATTCTTATGAGATCTGGGCTACACAAAATTCTCCAAGATCTGGCCAGAAGCAATTTGACCTCCTTAGCCTAGGTGCTGTGGTAGTAAGCGGGCTGCTCTTAGAAACCACGGGGCCCCATACAGCCAATGAAAACAGTGACTGATCAGTACTGATCACTCATTGTGTTCATCCAAGAAAGAAAAGAGCTGGTAACATATGACATATTTACCGCACCCTTCCACCACTCTCCATCCTGAAGGACCCTTTTGTGTGCTTGCAGCTGCTGGTAGGAAGGAGGGGAGGCTAGCTCGCTGCACTGTCGGGGGTGGGGGTACACAGGGGGCTGAGCAGCATGGGGAAACATATGGAGCACAGGGAGGGTGATGGGTGCGAAACGGGGGCAATTACTAGAACCAATCCCGTGTATAGCTCTGTATGCAGCAGCTGAAACCCAGTGGGAGGGAGAAGAGAAGAAGCCAGATTACAGCTGCTGCAGAGAGAGCTATACAGGGGATCGGTTCCAGTAATTGCACCCCCACCGTGCTGATCACCCTCCCTGCCCACATCTGATTCACCCAGCTGCCTGGGCCCCTCTGCTGGCCTGGGCCCCGTACAGGAGGACTGGTGGTACCCCCTTATCCATGGCCCTGGTAGTAAGTCAGGGAAAGGTAGGTATATTTTTTCAACTATATTTCCCCCTACAGGTACATTTATTCAGTGGTTTACAGGAGTTGGAGGGGGGGGGGGCTTGAATAAGCAAACCTTGCCATGGAGACCCACTGCCACCGTTTAGTATAAACAATGGAGAGGCAAGATCCCAGAGTGGACAGGAACATTCGAAGCTCCATGGTGGACAGGAAAAGGGGTAGGAGGTACAGCTGGTGTATCGTCATTACCTTGTTTTAATTTGGTGCCCAGAATTCTTGTTATCTCCAGCATTACGGTGGTGCCACTGCTTGGATCAATGGCTCCATGTACCCAGCTGTCCCTGTGGTTGCCGTACAACACATACCTGTCTAATAATACAGAATACAAGAGGGGTGAGTACAAACAAACAAATATCTACACATACATAAAGGGTCATGTACTCCATGCTGCTGTACAAAGCATCCATAGACAGCACATGGAGATTGGATGATTAACTGCTTCAAGAGCTTTCTCCAAGTATAGACGGTTATGGCTATGGAGCAATACAAATTTCCAGGACTTGATAGTCTACTAAAGGTTGTCTGGAGCCCCAAAGTCCCAACAGATAAAATATAATTCCCTGATATGGCCACAATTGGTAACAGGCAATGATCACCTTACATCTATAGACACCTTAGCAACTTAAAAGGTTGTTCTGACAGCGTCCAGGAGAACCATTTCCATGCATTAGCTTTCTACTACGCCTCCTACATGATCGGAATTGGTGAAGGTTATAGCAGAGATTAGAAGAATGGAGTACCTCACTGCTTTGCATGCTAACTCTGTCCCCAACTTTGAGCCAGCTTGGGAACCGTGGGATCTTTCCATTACTGATCTGCCTACTCAATTGTCTGTAACTGATGACTAATTCACTGTTATGTACTGACACTGTATGTACCTACAGTTGTGTTCAAAATAATAGCAGTCAGACATCACTAACCTGATCAATCACTGTTTTTGGTAGAAATGATATTTCTACATGGCAAATAATTTACTAGCAGGTGAAGTAGAGTAATAGAAATCCAACAGACCCAACAGTCATGACATGCATGCTGCTGATTCTGTGTAATTGAATCACTAATTGAAAGGGGCATGTTCAAAATAATAGCAGTGCGGAGTTCTATTAGTGAGGCCATTCATTCTTTGAAAAACAGGTGGCAATTATTGCCCTTATTTAAGGAAGGAAGGCAGCAAATGTTGTACATGCTGGTTACAGTGCATTTCTCTCTGAAATTCTGAGGAAAATGGGTCGTTTCAGACATTGTTCAGAAGAACAGCGTACCTTGATTAAAAAGTTGATTGGAGAGGGGAAAACATATAAAGAAGTGCAGAAAATGATAGGCTGCTCAGCTAAAAGGATCGCAAATGCTTTAAAATGGCAACCAAAACCTGAAAGACGTGGAAAAAAGTGAAAAACTACCATTCGAATGGATAGAAGAATAGCCAAAATGGCAAGGACTCAGCCAACAATCAGCTCCAGGAAGATCAAAGAAGGTGTAAAGTTCCCTGTGAGGACTGTTACAATTAGAAGACGCCTATGTGAAGCCAAGCTATCTGCAAGAAGCCCCCGCAAAGTCCCACTGTTGAAAAAAAGACATGTGCTGAAGAGGTTGCAATTTGCCAAAGAGCACATTGACTGGCCTAAAGAGAAATGGCGCAACATTTTGTGGACTGATGAAAGTAAGATTGTTCTTTTTGGGTCTAGTGGCTGGAGACAGTTTGTCAGACGACCCCCAAACACTGAATTCAAGCCACAGTACACTGTGAAGACAGTGAAGCATGGTGGTGCAAGCATCATGATATGGGGATGTTTCTCATACTACGGTGTTGGGCCTATTTATCGCATACCAGGGATCATGGATCAGTTTGAATACATCAGAATACTTGAAAAGGTCATGCTGCCTTATGCTGAAGAGGAAATGCCCTTAAAATGGGTGTTCCAACAAGACAACGACCCCAAACACACCAGTAAATGTGCAACACCTTGGTTCCAGACCAACAAGACTGACGTTATGGAGTGGCCAGCCCAATCCCCAGATATTAATCCAATAGAAAACTTGTGGGGTGACATAAAAAATGCAGTTTCTGAGGCAAAACCAAGAAATAGAGAAGAACTGTGGAATGTAGTCCAATCATCCTGGGCTGGAATACCTGTTCACAGGTGCCAGAAGTTGGTTGACTCCATGCAACACAGATGTACAGCAGTTCTCAGAAACAGTGCTTATACAACTAAATATTCATTAAGTGATTCAAAGGAAAGCAAAATCTTCAAACATTATTCAGTTTATATAGTGAATGTTTGAGTTTGTAAAGAAGAATACAAACACTGCTATTTTTTTGAACAGTCTAATATTCACGTTTCTTAATTTTTTTTTAGAGGAACAACACAAATTTGATCTATTTTTCTTCATGTTTTGATTTGGAATAGAATGTGTAGTGTTCCCAATGCATTTGTGTGTATGGAAAAAAAAGCTATTAGAAGGATTTTGAGCTTTATTCACTTTTTTCAACACACTGCTATTATTTTGAACACAACTGTATATGCCTCTCATCGATGAGTCTATCTCTTTGTTCTTTCATTGCTTTGTGATTGTTATTTCAAGATGCAACTGTTTCTTGTAAGCGTTTTAAAAATAATAAAAAAGTAAATTAATTTAAAAAAGGTTGTTCTGCAAAAATATTAAAGTATAGCTAAAGGCAAGACTTTTTTTTTTTCGTTTTGGATAGAGTGGAGAAGAATTTAAATGCCTCCCACAATTTTTTATCACTGTTTGTGTCCCCGTAAGGGTGATTCCCCCTCTCTATTTGCATATTTACCATTATCACTTCGATTGAAAATGTAAGAAAATCACAAATTTCGAGTTGTCACTAGAACAGGAATAAAGCGGAAATCTTCCAATGGGGACACTCGTTTTGGTAACAACCAGGGATTTTCTCACGTTGGGGGGATTTCTTCTAATTTCCTCTTTTGGCTATGGAACAGGAAGTGAAGTGAAATCTCTCCAATGGGACACGGATGGCAAAACCAAAACTGACAAGGATTATAACCCTCCCTTACGCTGTGCAAAATGAAAAAAAAAGTTCTGCCTTTACTTTTACTTTAAGATGTATTGGAACTGGTGATTTCACAGCAGCTCGTGACTTCTTTTAAAAAAATGCTAGTTGCCTGGCTGTTAAGGTGATCCAAAGGCCTCCATACTTTTTGGGTCACTGACCCAGAACACAAGCAGTCCAGGAGTTCTGTGTTTCCTGACCTGAACCAGACACTTGCTGCATGTTTGTTTGAAGCAATGGCTCAAGAGTTAATGACATCAAGGCACCATTTAGAAGGTCCGCAAAAGCATGCTCTGGATTACCCTCACATATATGCGGCCGTGCGGGCCGCGTTTTGCGCGGGGGCACGAGAGACCATTCGTTTGAATGGACTCCCGTGCCCCGTGACACGCAGAGAAGAAGTCCCTGTACTTCTTCCAAAAACACAGCCCACACGGGAACCTCGGTTCCCAGTATAGTTGCACTTTCCAGTGCAGGTGGCGCGCCATTAGAACTATTGTCACCCGCCCGCGTGTCCGCATTTCTCTGTGCGGTGGTGCGGATGCATGGATTTTCATGCGGATCCGCAGCGGCACCACCCGCACATATGTGAACCTAGCCTAAAGGTTTCCTATCTTGTTTTAAAGTGGAGTTTTACAAGTCTGTATAAATGCTTTATAAAGCAACAGTATCAATTTTTTTAAAAGCCACACTTTTTTTTTTTTTATCAAAAACCACTCCAGTCCTGCAACTTTGCCTAGGTTAAAATAATAGCATCAGTTTACTGCAGGGAGAAGGAAGCATTTCCTCAGTCTCCTTTCCCCCAATGATCACACTACAACTTTGTAGCAAGTCACTAGGTGGGAGTCTGCAGCAGATGGCTGATTTGTGTCAGACATTTGTGAACACAGCTAAAAACTGCACAGACACCAGAATTAAAAATGTTTTATAAAGCAACAGTATCAATTTTTTTAAAAGCCACACTTTTTTTTTTTTTTACCAAAAACCACTCCAGTTCTGCAACTTTGCCTAGGTTGAGATGACAGCATCAGTTTACTGCAGGGAGAAGGAAGCATTTCCTCAGTCTCCTTACCCCCAATGATCAGACTACAACTTTGTAGCAAGTCACTAGGTGAGAGTCTGCAGCAGAGGGCTGATTTGTGTCAGACATTTGTGAATACAGCTAAAAAACTGCACAGACACCAGAATTAAAATGAGTAATTTCTAACCTGGCATCTTAGTCCAGGAAGGGGATCTTGACCCTGGATAATGGCTGAATAAAGATGGAGCTACAGTATACTGCTAGAGAGAAAAAGTAGATGACGATATTGGGGGAGATTTACTAAAACTGGGCAGCACAGTGGCTAAATGGTTAGCACTTCCACCGGTCAGTACTAGGGTCGTTGGTTCACATCCCAGCCACGGCACCTCCTGCCTGGAGTTTGCATGTTCTCCCTGTGCCTGCGTGGTTTTCCTCCAGGTACTCTGGTTTCCTCCCACACTCCAAAGACATGCCGGTAGGTGAATTGGCTCCTGTCTATATTGGCCCTAGTATGTGTATGTATGAATGTAAGTTAGGGACCTTAGATTGTACACCCCTTGAGGGTTAGGGACTGATGTGAATGTACAATATATATGTGTAAAGTGCTGCATAAATTGATGGCGCTATATAAGTACCGGAAATAAATAAATAAAACTGGAGCACTCAGAATCTGGTGCAGCTGTGTAACCAATCAGCTTCTAACTTCACCTTGTTCAATTAAGCTTTTGGCAATAAAACTTGGAAGCTGATTGGTTTTTATGCAGAGTTGCACCAGATTTTGCAATTTTAGAAAATCAACCCCCCTTGTCAGCAGAAGTACTGTGATCTGTGTGAAAGGTTTTAAATACCTCTAAGCATTACACCTACACATCACCTCGAATATTGTACATGCATTTCTTGGGGAAAATATATCTGATGCTAGGTCCACTTTCAAGAATATAAATAAAAGGTATTTGACAGTCATTGAAGAATGGCATTATGTGACAACCACATTATCCATGAATACTAGTGACACAGCAGTGGTTGCTGCATGCATACAAACATGACTTATAATGATAGCAAGATATGTTATCTTCATATATGGTGACAACAGAACAAGCCAAAGGTGACTCACCAGGTTCTACAGCTCCTCTGATAATCCCCATAACATTCGCCGATGATTTTATTGTTCGTTTATTGTAAATATTAACCTGGACATCATCACTTGGAAAGGAAGAAAAAACTGTTATCTTGGTGATATGATTGTTATGAAACATACACAGACTCTTATGCACATACATGCACACACAGAAAGTGTCATGTATAGTCACCCAACCATCACACATACAGTATATGAACTTGTTGGACTTGTCGAACTTGTTGCAAAGTCTTACAGTTTGCTTTCTTTTGAAAGTAGCCACAGCCTGAGTAGAAGAGCCTGTTTGCTGCCTACAAGAAGTACCCTTGCTCCCTGTGTGGAAGCAGTGATCTCTCTGCATAGGCCCACCATGCTCCCTGCTGATTGGAGTTTGGACTGAGCAGTAGACATGTCAGGCAGGGGTGTATTTACCACAAGTCAAAGAAGGCATTTGCCTAGGGTGGCATTCTTCAGGGAGGAGCAGCACTGCCCCACAGAAGAAAGGACAGAAGAAGGGACACACCTGGCATGGGGACCTGGTGGGTTCTGAGAGAGGCTACGGGTTTCATGATGGTGTATGCACAGCCCGACTGTCAGGGTCCTGTCCACAGCAGAAGTTCTGGAAGATCTGGCACTTCTGCCAATACTCTGCATGGCCGCAGAAGTACACATCAGCCTCAGTCTGATGCCAGACGGCCTTTATAAGGAGGCTCATCACTTCCTCTGGTTGCTGGATGATCTCTAGCTCCCCATGCCCTGTTCCTGGTTCCTGTTTCCTGTGTTCTGACTTGTGATCTCCTGTTACTGACTCGGCTTGCTCCTGGATCTGTCTACTCTGATTTACCCCTGACCTGACCTCGGCTTGGCTTACGGATACCCTCTCTCTATCTCTCGCTCCTCTGTGAATGACCTCAGCTTTCCTATCTGACTACATCTGCTCTGATTCCCACCTGGTACCTGACCTTGGCTTGAACCGACTATCCAGTGAACATCCAAATCCCAGAAGGGCTTGCATATCACGCACAGGCGCCTCCTGTCTGCAGACCTATCTTCGTGCACCAGCTGTGCTTCTGAGTGGACCACCAACCAACACTCCTACAGGCGACCTGTGCAACTTTGAGTTTGACTCTAACTCCCGCTGTCCGACTCTCAGGGGAGTCCGGAACTTAGCTGCAAGGGAAGCCCTCTCTCCATTGGCCTCCATCACCAGGTACGTGATACCGATTCTCCTTCCCGGGGATGTCCAGAGCTGTGAAGATGAGTGTCTTTCTCTCTCTCGCCATGGGGGATGGTGGCTGGTGTATGGAGGGCAGTTGTAGTGGAAGGCTTTCTTAGGTGGGAGGCAGGGGTGTTGTTGGTCAGTGTCAGGCTCTCTTTGTGGGGGGGCGCCGATTTTTGTGTTGCCTAGGGCAGCACAAAACCTAAATACACTACTGAAGTCAGGTATCTGCAGAGGGTCCCCTGCTGCTGTCACACTGAGACTGTAAGGCACAGAAAAGGCTTTCTACTCAGACTGTGGTTGCTTTCTAAAGAAAACATAATGCAAGGGTTTGGCAACCTTTTGTTTTGATGCGCTTGCAATGGATTTAGCTGATTTAAAGTGACATTTCAGTTGGGCTTTAATATGCTCCATTGCAACTACTATATCCTTTACTTTTATGGGAAGACTTTCCCCAAGGGTATGTGTGTCTATGGGAATTTGTACCTAGGCAGTAAAAAGAGCATAGGTGAGGTCAGGTACTGATTTTGGAGAAGACCTGGTGCTCAAATTATGTTCCATCTCATCCCAAAGGATTTCAGTAGGGTTGAGGTCAGGATTCAGTGAAAGCTACTTGAGTTCCTCCACAGAAAACTCATCAAACCATGTCTTCATGGAGCTGGAGTTCTACAAAGGACACACTCATGCTGGAACAGCAAAGTGCCTTCACCAAACTGCTACCATGGTGTTGAAGGCAAACTATTGTCTAAAATATCTTTGCATGCTGCAACATTCAAGTGGACCTTCCATTGCAGATGAAAGGTCTGATTTATTTTGCTGGCCACTGGCCCCCTGCTCCCCGAACATTTAAAAAGAAAATTGCTTGACCCCCACCTTTCCCCCAGCAAAAAAAAAAAAACCCTCAGCCCTGGCCTCCTGTGGATGACGCCTCCCCGCAGGGCTGGGGACTTGAGATCTAACAAGAATGCCCTTCAGCCCATTGTAAGAATATTCCCACAGGAATTCAAGCTCCCGGTTCTGCTGAGAAGAATAGTGACATCACCTGTGCCCCCTGGATGCACCAGAGGTTAGGGCCGACTTTTCTTTTTTCTTGGGCTTAATGGTCTGTTTGAAAATGGCCTTTAGAAATCGTACTGTTCTCTATGGAAGGTCCGCTTTAATAGTACCCTCCACTCAATCATTTTAGGGAAGTCCAACATGGTCATAGAAGTGTGGTGGTCATAAGTTCATATGCTTCTGCTCATATAGTGTGTACTTTGTATTTTACATTTTGGGGGTGCATTATTCCTTATATTGCACATAGTATAATTTTAAATAATTTTTGTTAATCAGTCCCAGTGAGACAAGTCCTCAGATCTGATATCACACACAAAAGGAGATTTTATGTTCTGCAGATTACCTCTTACTGAATTTGTTCTGTCTGAATCCAGGTCCTATGTTATAAGGACAACCCAGAGACCCTTGCCAGTTATCTGGAGCTTTAGGTTCATCCAGCTCACTGTGAATAAACAGAATATGATTTTATAAGACCTTCATTAAATTATTTTTAATATATGTGATTGAAATGGATAGCGCCCTCTGGTAAGTAATGACTGAACATCAATGCTGGGGAGGTCAGTGTTCATCCCACTGGTACCCATGATACCTCTACCTCTGGGAGTCTTGCCTATGGATGTCAGAGTCTTGCAAGACCTCATGGGACTAGCAGTTCCTCAAAACCTATTTGGAGACCCTTTCTTTAGATGGAAAAGAGTCAGAAAAGCATATAGTTCATCTTCTAAAATGGATCCTTTAGCTCATCCACACCATCATGTAAAACTATCGGGGATAGATGACATGTTCCCATCACCTTCCCGGCGCTTCTCACATCATATCATGTCCAAAATGCAAGAGTGTTCACAAATGACATGAAAAGGAAACACACTGAACTTTATATCCGATGTTGGAAGTGACATAGTCCTGGCTCCTGTATTCTGCAAGCTACCGTATGATGTACATTACATATCCTGGGTCAAAGGGGTGATTATCCTAACAATTACTAGCTAACAAGTAGTCTCCATTTGTCTTCTTTAAGCCCCTTTCACACGGGAAGCATGATCAGGTCTGCCTCTCAGTTTTTCAGGCTGATAGTAAGGCTAAGGGCAGGCGGATGTACATGGACATGGTCCTGTTTACACCTGATCACCACTGCCTCCGTCCAGAAAAGTTAAAATCTACATCCTTTCTCAGTTTTTCTAAACTAAACGTGATGGATTGTTGGAGGTAGTCCTTGTATGCAAGTTGATTTTCAGCCAGCTCCCCATGGATCCAACATGGGTCCAGAAAGCCCTGGTTTGTAAATGCAAAAAAAAAATTGAGTGGGTCTAGATGTCACATAGCATCACATGGTGTGAAAGTGGAACTAAACTCAGAAAGTGAAGATTTGCTATGATGTAGGGAACATTTAAAAGTGTTAACTGTGCCTAAAAGGTACCCTCAAAAATCCAGAATAAAGCAGTGCATTACCTACTATGTGAGGGTGACTAGGCACTCCTGTGCCTACATCCTTATCTGCAGTGAGAGATCAAAAGCCGGCCATAGATGGAGTGATTTTATTTCTTGCCACCACCTTTTGCAGGAATGAAAATTGCTTGATTCCCCCATCAACACAGTCAGGGTTGATAGGGGAATCCCTCCCATAGAGCCATTGTGTTCTCCCAGCAGAAGGATGGGGAAGCCGCCCCTGCCAAGAGAACACAGTGATTGCTGGCAGCTATATTAGCTCTAAAATTCTTATTACTATACAGGATTTATATAGGGCCAACAGTTTGCACAGTGCTTTACAGCATGAGGGCAGACAGAACAGTTACAATACAATTCAATACAGGAGGGATCAGAGGGCCCTGGTCGTTGGAGCTTACAATCTAAGATCAGACTGGTTGGTTGTACCCAAGTTGATTCTGCCTGCTCATACATGTTTTGAATCTTGTCCAGTCCCTGTTGAACTGGCCGAATTTTAAAGCGCCTATGGACGGATTTAGGCACTGCTACCTCTGAGTGCTAGTCTCAGGAGATTTGGAGTGAGATTTTGTAATGTAACTATTGTATTGCTCACTGATCTCCTTGCTGGAGGAGATGCATGAAGCTATAAAACCTTCCGTGTGCTGCTCCCCATGCAGCCCCCCCTTAAACTCACCTGAGCCCCCTCTTGATCCAGCATTGTGCATGAGAGCCTTGGCTGTCCCAGGTCTCTCTCCTCATTGGTGGAGACACAGTAGCAGGAGCTTCTACTGCTGTCAATCATAGCCAGTGAGATAATGAGGGGTGGGAGCGAGCCACAGCTTTATGGATGCATAGAGCGGAGCTCAGAAGGAAGCACACACCATTTCCCCCATATCAAGTGACTTGCTATTGGGGGCACTGGTCAAGAGGGAGGGGACCTGAGAAGAAGAGGAGTGGATCTGTTCTGTGCAAAACCATTGCACAGAGAAGGTAAGTATAACATTTTTTTCTTTTTTTTTTTTTAAAGTCGAACCTTTAATATAATTTTAAAAGCAAACTATACTTGGAAGCACTTTCAATGTCCTAGCAACAAGGCAGAATGGGATGATGCCATTTCTGGGAGTTTTCTGGCCAGGCTTCAGGAGGCATGTACATTGCCTACACCTATAACAGGGGCATTATTTAACTTTTGTCAGATCTGCACAGTTTTTTTTAATCTACAATCCTTACTTGCATAGGCAGTTTTTTTTCGGTCAAGGTGATTGTGACGAATTGTCCCTGTGTGATCACATTTTGCCCTTTCTGTTCCAGTTTCATCCCCTTTGTAAAGCTGGACATGTTTCACAGACATTCTACACTGTTTGTTTAGGGAAATGTGACCTGGTAGTCTTTCACTTCTAATAGAGTTCATACTGTATTGTTAGTTGTAGGGTTTGTTGTGGGTGGGGAAAACCCGGTGCCAGGCTGTCTGGTGGGGGTGGGGTTGAAGCTGTATATACTGAGATGTGTTTAATAAAGAGTCAGTCATTATTCACCCTACACGAAGTTCCGACTCGTGGTTTTGGGTAGAGCAAAAGGGAGGGTTTCTTAGCTATAATATCTGCCTTGGGAGAGTGCTGGAAGACTTGCTGGAAAAGAGGACCATTGGGTGTGACACATAGCTCCGCACGAGGAAGCCCAGGTGGAACGGTTCCGCCACAATTGGTTGGCAGCGGTGGGATCTTTCCTCATTGCGGAGAAAGTCCAAACCACCAACTGGGATCCCATCTTTTTTCACGGAGACATCCCTGCTCAGCCAGATGGATATACGGGACCTCCGGAAGCCAGCTCTCCAAAGCCTGCTTGTTGCTCGGGGAGGTATCGCTGGCTCCAAGACCAGAGAGGAACTGTTGGACGAGATTATGGACCTGGACCAAGCGGATGCGCACCCCGCTCCACCTGATGCACACTCCGCTATGCTTAAAGCGAACACTGCTCCACCAGAAGTGAACTCTGCTTCACAGGAGGAGTTGGAGGAACAGAGCAGCTCATCGGCCCCTGAAACACCAGGCCCACTTAGCACCGTACAGAGACCCCTATACCATTCAGATTTACGACAAGAGGTGGAGTGGCGGTTGTCTCTGTTTGGCAGCGCTCCCACCTCTGAACAGATTTCCAAGGCCCTGGACGATGCCACCCAACTGCGGCTTAGTTACTCCCGGTCATCAACCGAGGACTCGGTCTGGGAGAGGATTACCTCCCGCCTTCTCCAGACTGCAACCGGACCAAAGAAAATTCCCTACGCTGCTTTTAAAACTTTCTCAGAGGCGGATGGGGACATTGATAGCTTTCTTCAGGACTTTGAACGTTTGTGCACCATCCATGGTGTGGCAACCCAAGACCGGGTCCCCATTTTGAGCAGCAAGCTAACCGGTCGGGCTGCAGACGCATTCAGGACTGTACCCGACAGCTACTGCCTGGATTATGATTTTGTTAAAGAACACTTGTTGGCCCGCTACGCTCTCACCCCAGAGGCGTATCGCTTAAAGTTCCGGACACTCAAGAAGAAATCCCAGGACACCTTCACTGAATGGGGACATCAGTTACAGCACACTGCCCGCAGCTGGGTCAGAGGGTGTCAGATCACCAAGCTGGAGGAACTGTTACAACTGCTGTTACTGGAGCAGTTTTACAATGGACTTCCAGGGGATGTTCGACATTGGGTCCGGGACAAACACCCCCTAACCTTAGCCGACGCTAGTCGCTGGGCAGATGAGTACCTGGACAACAGGAGGCTAACAGAGCCCACCATTCCCCCTGCACCTCGTCCACAACCAGTGGTGCCCACTCCGGTCACCCGAGAATGCCTCAGACCACCCACACCTTCTGACCCAAAGTGGTCTGGCACACGCTGTTATGGCTGCAACCAAACAGGGCACATCCGCATTCATTGCCCCCGGAATCCACCAAGGCTCCAGAGCAGCCAACCCCCTCGGGGCACTTCCAACCGACCTACCATTCCCTATGGCCGAGCCTCTGCCTACTCTCTACAGGACCACCCGAGTGACACCGCCTCTTCATGGAGGAATTTTACCAGCGAGGATGAGGACATCGGGGTCTTTCATGAGGTTAACCCTCTCCAAGCTGCAACCCTGGACAATCGCCAACACCACCAACAGGTTGTCCATGTTAACGGCCGTCAGGCCCAAGGATTACGGGACACTGGGGCCACACTCACCCTAGTCCAACCTCAACTGGTACCAGACTGGGCCAAGACTGGGCGATCTGTAGCTTTACGGGTAGCGGGAGGCCATGTCTACCGGATTCCTACCGCAAGGCTTCATCTGGATTGGGGGGCCGGGGCCAGGGATGTTGAAATTGGAGTAATGCAGAACTTGCCAGCTGAGGTGCTCCTTGGAAATGATCTGGGAGTCCTGGTCTCCACTTTTTGGCACAGAGACCCCTGCTGAAGCTCAACCAGTACCGACCGGGGAAGCAAAACGCCAATGCAGATGGATTGTCCCGGGAAGCCGAGTTGGAGAAGTGACCCTCTGAACCGACCAGCCCCAAGCGGACCCGTTTGAAGGTCTCGCTGGGTCTGGCGGGTGTTACACAACGGGGGAGCATTGTGACGAATTGTCCCTGTGTGATCACATTTTGCCCTTTCTGTTCCAGTTTCATCCCCTTTGTAAAGCTGGACATGTTTCACAGACATTCTACACTGTTTGTTTAGGGAAATGTGACCTGGTAGTCTTTCACTTCTAATAGAGTTCATACTGTATTGTTAGTTGTAGGGTTTTGTTGTGGGTGGGGAAAACCCGGTGCCAGGCTGTCTGGTGGGGGTGGGGTTGAAGCTGTATATACTGAGATGTGTTTAATAAAGAGTCAGTCATTATTCACCCTACACGAAGTTCCGACTCCTGGTTTTGGGTAGAGCAAAAGGGAGGGTTTCTTAGCTATAATATCTGCCTTGGGAGAGTGCTGGAAGACTTGCTGGAAAAGAGGACCATTGGGTGTGACACATAGCTCCGCACGAGGAAGCCCAGGCGGAACGGTTCCGCCACAGTGATCTAACCATATAAAGCTATACCAACTAACCATGTACTCCATAGACCTGACTTTGTACATTTGATTTAGGTCCCATGTACTCCAAAGACCTGACATTTTACATTTGATTTAGGCCCCATGTACTCCATAGACCTGACTTTTTACTTTAGATTTAGGTCCCATGTATTCCATAGACCTGACTTTTTTATATTTGATTTAGGCCCCATGTACTCCATAGACCTGACTTTTTACATTGGATTTAGGCCCCATGTACTCCATAGACCTGACTTTTTACATTGGATTTAGGCGACATGTGCTCCATAGACCTGACTTTTTACTTTAGATTTAGGCCCCATGTACTCCATACTTTTTACATTTGATTTAGGCCCCATGTACTCCATAGACCTGACTTTTTACTTTAGATTTAGGTCCCATGTACTCCAAAGACCTGACATTTTACATTTGATTTAGGCCCCATGTACTCCATAGACCTGACTTTTTACTTTAGATTTAGGCCCCATGTATTCCATAGACCTGACTTTTTTATATTTGATTTAGGCCCCATGTACTCCATAGACCTGAAATTTTACATTTGATTTAGGTCCCATGTATTCCATAGACCTGACTTTTTACATTTGATTTAGGCCCCATGTACTCCATAGACCTAACTTTTTACATTTGATTTAGGCCCCATGTACTCCATAGACCTGACTTTTTTATATTTGATTTAGGAGACCGGCCAGGATCCCTCAAAAGTGCAGATCAATTGGAGTCTAGCTCCCCCTAGCTGATTAGGAGGGTGCTACGTTTATTTAAAAAAAAAACAACATTTATTTAGAGGACTTGAGTTAGTTACCATATTAATGTTCGGGCATCCTGGAAACCTATGGGCTGTGCTGGTATGTGAGAAATACCTTTGATCTCAGATTCAGGAATTCTATAAGTGAACTCTGCAGAATAAGTGAAGCAAAGTCAATATCCTGGTAGAATGGAGGCAATGTTAGCAGAAATCTATATACACAAACTGGAACAAAATGAAGAAGATGTGAGAAATGAGGATAGCATATAGGATTCTAATACAAATAACTTGATTAGAGAGCAAAACAGGGTACATGTTATAATGAGTAGGACAAAACATGGGGAGCAATAAAGCGAGCCAGCCAGAAAGGACTCTGAGGCTCCATTCACAGCTGAGCGTAGCGTTTTTCTGTGTTTTTGGATGCATTTTGTCACGTGCCTTTTTGCACGTTTTTCATACAGCGTTTTTAGGTGTTTTTGGACTTTGGCACTTTATTAGCCAGTAGAGAAAAATATCTGTTGCATCATTTGTTGCTATAGGTTTTTTTTTTTTTAGTTTTTCCATCAGCATGAGCTTTTATTATTATTATTTTTTTTTTTAATTATTATTTTGTTTTTGGTTAGGGTAAGGGGTTAGAGTTAAGGTTAGGCTAGGGTTAGGATTAGGGTTTAGGTTGGAATTAGTATTTTAGTTATTATTTTCTTATTATTTTATTTATAATATTTTACTTATAATTTTCTCAGTATTTATTTATTGTTAGGGTAATAATAATAATAATAATACAATGAATAAATAAATGTAAAATAAATACACAAGTAAAAAAAAATAATCATAAATAAATACTAGGTAAGTAAATAATAATTAAACCCTAACCCTCTAACCCTTACAAAATATATATATAAACAACTTATTATTAATAATAATAAACACCTAAACATCTAAACCTGAACAAAAATACATCATTATTATTATTATCCTCTTTTTTTTAGAGGGGAGCACGGTGTGTTACCACAGTTTTTGGTCTGTTTACCACACTTAGGGTGCCTTTGACATGTAATGACAACATAAACACGATGCACATTTGCAGCGTGTTTCTGAAACTCATGGCAAAGTGCGCATTTTCTGTGCAGATTGCCATGCATTCGGAAACACACAGATGTGAATGCAGCCTCATTTTTCTGTATAAACGCACCAATTTCACTTTCAGGCTCCATTCACACCAAAAGTAGAGAGAGCGCATGTGTTTTCAATGGGCTGCGCTACATGTGGCAAAGTAGCTCATGGGACATTTTGGCGTGGTCTCGCATTTTTTTCTGCACGTATTGCTGCATTTGTCATCCCGTTTTTTTCATGTGGCAAAATGTGTGCTTGTTTCTGTGTTTGGTGTTCCGGTAACAATTAATGACACTGAAAAAGCAACTACGTAATTTTAGGTGTATAAATGTGGCCATACACTATACAATCTGATTGTACAATCTCTGTACAATCTCCATTAGATTTACCAAAACTATATAATAGGAGGACACGCCATCTATCCAATCACTTTATATCCAATCAAGCAGGCCCTTGCAATACATCATGGGTGCATGTGGCCCCAGGGAGTCTAGCATGCGGCCTGGGCCCATCTGTAGAGATGTAGAGATGCTGGGGTAGCCAGGTAAATGCAAGTGGGGAAAGATCCCAGGGATGCTCTGAATAAATAGTTGATGAGTGAAGGGTGTGTACTAATGAGATAAGAGCAGGATGTGTGTGCTAATTTGATCAGCTGGTAATCGGCTTCCGGGGTCCTACTGGTTCCTCTGTCCTCTCTCTACATTCCAGGAAGTGAAAAAGCTTTCTAAGAAATTTAAAGTGCTAAGGTAAGGCCTGTTCTCCAGATCAAAGAGGGCTTGTATATTTATGCAACTGAGGTACATTAACCTCTTCCCGTCCGGCCCATGTCAATAAACAGCCAGATAGGAGCACTGCTGATGTTTCCATTGCCTGTGCGTGCTCCCTAGGAGTTCCCGATTCACGTGATCACTGATTGGCCAATCAGTGATCACATGAATAGTAGTAAACAAGATGTCACTTGCTGACATCATTGTTTACTACTAGTGAATCTGTGAATAATCAGAGGTCACATGGTACAAGGCTATTCACAACAGCCTTGTATCATGTGATAAGCTGTGACTAATCACAGCTCATACAGTATTTCTCAATGGCTGCAGGAATGCAGCCAGAGAAAAGGAGCAATGATTGCTTTTACAGCCTTTATGGGTCAAATCATCATCCCCCACAAGTAGTACAGTGTCACTATGGTAACATTGTACTGCTAGGGTGACAGTATGCTTAAAAAAACAAAAAAAACATAAATAATAATATAAAAAAAATAAAATTAAAATGTAAAAACACTTTTGAAAAATTATAATTTTTGGTTATAAACTAATTTGGGGTATTTTTTTTTACTAAAAAGATAGATGAATACATTTTGGCCAAGATTTTTTGAAGAAAGATTATTTATTTGCAAAAGTTTATAAGAAAAACACTTTTTTTTAAAAAATTTGTGGACTTTTTCATTTATATAGCAAAAACAAATCCCAGTGGTGAATAAATACCACGAAAATAAAGTTTTATATGTCTCAAAAAAATGCTAAAAAATTCATATGGGTACAGTGTTGCATGACCGCGTCATTGTCATTCAAAGTGTGATAGCACTGAAAGCTGAAAATTGGCCTGGACTGGAAGGCGGTGAAAGTGTCCAGACGTGAAGTGGTTAATTGTATATTGGTGCGTAGGGGAGCAGAATTTTAGGGGCAAAAAATGTGAACTTAGCCTTTAAAATAATAAGAGAGTAAGATTTGGTATGTGGAATAATATTATCATAAAATTTTGATAATGGGGAACAGTGAGAGAGGAAGATATGGCAAATAAGAGCAAAACATAGGAACAATAATACAGAAGGACATACGGAACAGTAAGAGAGCAGGACAAGGAAATATTGAAACAGAATGATATGGAAATTCATAACAGAGCTGAACATGGGAAATAATAAAATAGAGAGGGGGAATAATAAAAAAGCAGGGAATTATTAGAGAAAAGTATATGAAGAATAATAATAATCATAACACAGCCGGCTATAGGAAACAATACAAGTGTAGAATATTGGGAATAATAAGAGAGCAAAGTATGGGAAATAATAAAACAAGAGGACATGGTAACCACTTGAGATGGGTAATAATAATATGTGGAATAATATAATAATAAGAGAGCAAGATATATGGAATATTATGATAATAAGAAGCAGGATGTGGGGACCAATCAGAGAGTGAAGGGCGTAGCAAATAACAGAGCAAAACATAGGAGCGATGATACAGCAGGATATTTGGAACAATAAGAGAGCAGGGCATGGGAAATAATAAGACATCGGGATATGGAAAATAATAAGAGAGAAGGACATGAGGAATAATTAAAGAGCAGGACATGAGAAATAACGAGACATCAAGATATGGGAAATAGGAGAGCAGGGCACGAACTGAACAGGGGGGTGTTAGGAGAGCACAATATGAAGAATATTAAGCATGCAGGGAACAGATGTTCAAGAAAGTAAAACACAGCAAAAAGGAGATGGATTATGTAAGAGGCATTGTACATGCAGTCATGGCCAAAACTATTGGCACCCCCACATTTCTGTCAGATAATGCACCACTTTACCCAGAAAATTGTTGCAAATACAAATGTTTAAGCATTTTCATGTTTATTTATTTTGTTTGTATTGGTATGACACAAAAAAGTGGAGAAACAAAAAGCCAAATCTGACACATTCTACACAAAACCCCCAAAATGGACTGGACAAAATTATTGGCACCTTCCTAAAATTATAATAAATAATTGCATTTCAAGTTTGTGAAGCTCCTGTAATTTGTAATTAAACTCACCTGTATTAATTAACAGGTACTGATAATATAGAAATCACACTGGCAACATGTTAAAATGGCGAACAATTGACTCAACCTTTCTGTTGTGTGTCTCTATGCGCCACATAGAGAAGAGAAAGAGCAGCAAACAATTGTCTGTGGATTTAAAAACAAATAGTTTGGAAAAGCATGGACAATCTCAAGGTTACAAATCCATCTCCAAAGATCTTATTGTTACTGTGTCCACTGTGCGCAACATTGTCCAAGACGTTTACAGCCCATGGCACTTTAGCTAATCTCCCTGGACGTGGACGAAAGAGAATAATTGATCAAAGATTGCAACAAAGGATTGTTCGAATGGTGGATAAAGAACCTCGATCAACTTCCAGAAAAATTCAAGCTGACCCTCAAGCACAGGGTACAACTGTGTCAGCTCACACTATACGTCGCCATCTGAATGAAAAGGGACGCTATCGTAGGAGACCCAGGAGGACCCCACTGCTGACACAAAAGCATAAAAAAGCCAGATTGGAATTTGCCAAAACTTTCCTGAGAAAGCCAAAATCCTTTTGAGAGAATATACTGTAGACAGATGAAACAAAATTACAGCTTTTTGGTAAAGCCCATCATTCTATTGTTTTCAGAAAAAGAAATGAGGACTTTAAAGAAAAGAATACAGTCCCTACAGTGAAACATGATGGAGGTTCACTGATGTTTTGAGGATGTTTTGAGGTTGCTTTGCTGCTTCAGGCACTGGATGTCTTGAATGTGTGCACGGCATTATGAAATCTGAAGACTACCAAAGAATTCTGGGGTGCAATGTAGGGCCCAGTGTCAGAAAGTTGGGTCATCGTCAGAGGTCATGGGTCTTACAGCAGGACAATGGCCCTAAGCACACATCAAAAAGCCCTCAGAAATGGTTTCAGACAAAGCACTGGAGAGGACTGAACTGACCAGCAATGAGTCCAGATCTCAATCCTATAGAGCTCCTGTGGAGAGATCTCAAAACAGCAGTTGGGAAAAGGAAGCCTTCCAATCTGATAGACCTGGAGCAATTGGTGAAAGAAGAATGGTCCAAAATTCCAGTAGAGGTGGAAGAAACTCATTGATGGTTGCAGGAAGTGATTGATTTCAGTTATTTTTTCCAAAGGGTGTGCTACCAAATATTAAATTGAGGGTGCCTATAAATTTGTGCATTCCATTTTTGGGGTTTTGCGTGGAATGTGTCAGATTTGGCCAGTTGTTTCTCCACGTATTGGTGTCATACCAATACAAACAAAATAAATAAACATGAAAATGCCTAAACATTTGTAATTGCAACAATTTCCTGGGCGAAAGGGTGCATTATCTGATAGAAATGCAGGGGTGCCAACATTTTTGGCCATGACTGTACTGGAAAAGTGAGGGCATGTCCTTTTTCTTTTAGTCCCATACCATTGCTTCAGTTATTACCTTTAGCTGGATAGTACGGGGTGAGCTGATCACCAAAATTCTCTTTGAATGAGCCTCGTTCTACTCCAGAAGGTGGCATATACCAGGAATTAGGGTATGTGTCTGCAGGATTTGACATACCATCATTTATGTCTTTCGGGTCAGTGTAGATTATTACACCAATCACTCCAAATTTGGCAGCATTAATTGCCTAAAACACAAAGATGATGAAATCAGCAAGTATTCTGTATACATAATTCCACATGTTACACATGTACAAAATGCCAGTAAACACACGTACAGCATGTAGAGATGCACAAAATTAGAACCAAACGTTAGGGTACTAAAAATGCAATAGTGAAGAAATATGAATAACTTTTTATAAGATTGCTATCCTGTGGAGAACAGAATCACAAATAATAGTTGATCATGTCACATATGGTTGTCAAAAAAAGCTCCTTCAATTCAAAAGCTCTGAGAACAGGCTGTAGCTGAAACTTTGAACCCCAATTCTCCAAGAGAGAGAGAGAGTTATGTACTGCCTAATGGCAACTTATCAGATTCAAAGTTTTAGATCTCAGCTGTAATTTTCCAGCACAGGATTGAATCTAGTAGATGCGGGGCAATGCAAATGGTCCTGATTTTAGTTTTTTTTCGCTTTTGCTCATGAGCATAGAGGGATGGGGGCGCTTTTTAAAAAAAATATTATTTATTTGATTTTTTTTTTTTTTATTTTTACACTGCTTTAATTTTTTTCTTCACCTTTATTCCTATAACAAGAAATTTAAACATCCTTTGTGAAATAAGGGATGACAGGTCCTCTTTATGGAGACATCTGGGGTCTATAAGACCTCAGATCTATCTTCTACTCTGGAAAGCATGAGATTTAAAAAAAAAATCTCTTTTTTTTTTTAAAAGGCATGGTGTTTACATCTGCCAGGACTGGAAGTTACATCATGATGTTGCTTCTGGTCTCTTAGACCAAAGAGATGGCCGAGGAGCTTCCAGTCCCTGGCCAGCTCTATAATAACCCGGTGGCACCGTCGGATCAGATACTGGTCTCCTCGGTCGTACGATAGAGCCCCAAGAAGTTCCGGACATAACCTCCTGCTGTCTGTAAAAGCAATCCAGAGGCTAATCAGCCACTAGGATTGCTTTTAGAAAAAAAAAAGACTGAAAAAAATACCAGGATTATGGCATACAGTTGCAGCAATAACCCCCGGTATAATCACTTGAACCCACTCACGTACAGTACATGTATGTGATTTGGTGTCAAGTGGTTAAACTAACCAGACTGTATAATGTATGGCCAAGTTTTAAAATATTCTTTGGTAATTACAGTAGATTGTACATGGATTGGCACAGTTTAATTTCCGTATGTAGCTGAAAGCCCACGTCCAGCTAAAACATTTTTCTTAGTTTGGGATAGAGTAGGGAAACACTAAACCCTCTGTCAGGTTTCTATGTCTGTCTGTAGCCCAATGAGGAGATTTACCCTCAACTTTTCTCCTAGTGACTACAGAGATAAAGACTTATTGTGTCCCCTGTGGAGATTTGCCCCTTATTTCCTGTCTTGTTGAGCACACAGCAAGTGAAGGGAAAGCTTCCTAATAAGAGTGAGTTCTGGCTGGTTCAGGCAGGGAGAAGGGGATAAACCTTGTGGTCCTTTTTCACAGGCTTTTTGGACCCAACCTACCCACCCTGTGCAGCTAATAAAGGGGGATAGACTGGGTACCGAGGGCTTCCGTGTGTAACTCATCTGCGTACCTGCCATCATGCCTGGTTCTGGACCGCGGTATGGTCCTGGGTTGGGAATGTTATAAACCCACCTTGTTGAAGGGGGGCTGCTATGCCAGAAGATGCCAACTCATTCGGATCACTGCCAAACATAGACTTACCAGTCATGGACTATCTCCTTTCTAAGGTAGGCCTGGGTAGCCACCAAACACACAATTAGGGTTAGGGTGTTTTTAAGGACCTGTGTTGCACTTTATTCTGTATGCTAAGGAACCTACAGTAAAGTTTGTTAACTCTTTTCCTGAGCCTGGTCTGAAGTTACTGTAGCATCCTCTTAGTGCAGCTAGGCTGAGCTAGACCCTAATGGTTAGTCAGGAGCTGGTTAGCAGCTCAGGTGTGATAGCCACAGGAGTCAAATTGTTGTCAGGGCTCAGAGTCTCTGCAGGCCAGTCCCTCTGGAATTTCACCTAGGCTCTGAGGCTTTTGGAGCAGGGTTTTGGAGGCAGTGGGTGGATCTGAGGAGTGGCTGGCTGCACACTTAAGGTAACTAAGCTAATCCCCAACAGAAGGCTTGGCAAGGAGCTGGGACTCCCTTAAAGTATAAGAGCATGCTCAGTAGCAGGAGTGTGGAGGTGGGAGAGGAGTGTGGAGCAGAAAGATGTGAGGTTTGAGGTGGAAGGCTGCCAGGAGTCCTAGTGTGATGGGGCCTTCCTGCGAGCCTAGAGCTGGAAAGAAGGAAAACTTTGGACTCGTTGGCCCCCTGAGAGAGGACCACCTGTATGGCAGGGAAGGAGCAGCCCAGCTGATAGGACTGGTAGTAGCAGTCATGCCGCAAGTGGCACAGGAGAGGTTCTGAGTGAGTTCAACGACACCCCCTGGGCAGATAGGCGAAGGGGCACTCTGGTGGGAAACCAGATTAGCCCTCTACTAGTGACTGTTCACCTCATTTACGGAACAGGAGACAGAACTCCTGCTCAGGAATAAAAGTCTCCAGATTGCTAGGTGAAGAGGAGTTAATCTAGAGTCTGGGATGTTACAACTGGGAGATGCTGGGTAACACTCCAACAGAGACTGCATCAGAGAAGAGAAGCTTGTGAATAGTTCAGGAAGTTGTACTCAGATATCGGTTCCATTAAGCATCCTATATCCCCCTTACCCTATCCCCTCAGTAAATACCAACACCAAGGCTCAAGGACTGGATTCTGTCTCCGGATGAAAGTCTGTTTTGAAAATGCTAATTTACTGGCCGTGCAGGACTATAGGGGGACCCAAATTCATCAGCAATCCCTAAGGGGAATAGTGCTACATTACGAAAGGGGTGCATGATGGTCATAGGGGCAGACACACTACATTACTTTGGTCAGGTAAAGCACATATAGGGTATGAAGCAAGAGGTTCACTCAGTATTGGAGTGAAGGCAGAGGGTAGTTGCTACAGGTAACCAAAAAACTAGTGTCAAGTGAATAGCAGGCTGTCATGAAGCTTGGTACCTGGGTATGATGAGGTGTCCCCTGATAGCAAGGGGGTTGCTGCTTGTCTACCTCCCTAGCATTTCACCTCCCATAGCAACCAGGAGCAGACCAGCATTATGGACACCTTCAGCCTAGCCACATGGTACAGGAGAGAAGATGAGAAGTGAAAGTAGTGCATGCATGAGGTCTGCGCTAGGTGCATGGCAGGACCCTGTCACTTTGAGTGAAGTGGCAGAGGTACGCTGGATGGATGGAGTGGGCATGGGCTTAGCAGTGTCCCTTCTAAGTGCAACAGTCACAATGATGTGTGTAGTGACACGGTGCAAGGCTAGTGACCCCACCCACACTGCCTGACATGGCCCAAGAACCTGGTGGGCTTACTGTCATGTACACATCTAGTGAGGACCAACCCGCCATAGCAGCCCACACACAGACAGCAACACAAAACAGACAAGAGCTTAGCTAACAAAAAAGGTTTTGGTTGCACAATGGTGGTTTATGGCGGAATTCGGGGCAGCTGTGAGCACATGACCTGGAACTATAGCGCCACCAACCCTGCTTTTTAGATAATTTAATTAAAGGTTTAAAAAAATTCACTACCCTTGGCTTGCCTCAGAATTTCTATTAAAAGAGACATACAGTAAGTGTACACATTTCTTACATTCACATAGGTCTACTATTTTCATTATTGTAGACTGTAGTTTAATTTAGGAAATACCCCACCTTGTTCACTCTTCCTATTCCTCCATAGCGCACAATAGCGATGGTGTCAGTCAGGTTTATATGGTTTGCCAGGTACTGGAAATCACTTACTTTCCCTTCATTGGCATAGACCAGTTTCCCCTATAGGACGGAGACAAAAGAAAGTATACAGAGTGATATAATGATGCAGATAAAAAAACGTAGTCTTCAGAATCAAAAATGGAATCTGAATCAATAATGGAATTCAGAATTAGTAATGGAAAACAGGTTCAGCATGGCAAAGAGCAAGCATGTACCGCAGAATTATGCAGACCAGATTAGGAAAGCTGCACAAACATGGACTCTTCACAGCAATGTCTCTGTGGCTCAGTCATGGTCACACAAGCAGACTCTACCAAGCGGATCCACCTGTTCCGTTTACATATGACTGTCATCTGATCCACTAGATAGATGGGGAACGGAACCCCATCTGTCTGTTTTTAGCAGAATGTGCAAATGGACCCATTATTCAGACAGCATACTTGCCAGTGAGACATCCCCAATGGCTTCTACCAATGTGTTTTCCCCTCATCTCTGTCCCCAGTCCAGTGACCACACAATGCCCACAGCACTTCTCTGTTTACTACTGCCAGCTTCTGTCACCTCACTGATGTTCAGATTTTACACATCAAAGCTTTAAGTAGCCAAAACCGGAAGTCACCCTCTCAGGACAGACCACCAACAGCTTAAGGACCCCTCTTTTGTCTTCTGGGTTGACAGGATCATTCAGCATTACAGGAGCCAGAGTAATGATCAATCTCAGGGGAGGGAGCAACCCACAGTCTGCAGAATGGGAGACAGGTATGTAGTCATCACTGAGCACCACTCTACACCCCACTGCCCTCCAGCCTAACCTGCTACCCCCAGTGCACCTTGCTACCCTCCAGTCCACTGCTCTGCCCCCCTCCAGTCCATCCCAATACCCCCCAGTCCACCCTGCTACCCTCCAGTCCACCCAACTGCCCCCAGTCCACCCCGCTACCCTCCAGTCCACCCCATTGTCCCTAGTCCATCTCGCTGCCCCCCAGTCCATCCCGCAACCCCCCAGTCCATCCTGATACCCTCCAGTCCACCCAACTGCCCCCCAGTCCATCCCGCTGCCCCCCAAGTCCATCTTGCTACCCTCCAGTCCACCACACTGCCCCCCAGTCCATCCCACTACCCCCCAGTCCACCCCACTGCCCTCAGTCCACCCAGCTACCCTTCAGTCCACCCCCCACTGTCCCTAGTCCATCTCGCTGCCCCCTAGTCCATCCTGCAACCCCCCAGTCCACCCTGCTGTTTTCCTGTCTATGTTTGATGGTGACCAGAGACATGAAGTCAATAAGTCTTCTTTTTTTTAATTACAGCAACTCATGAATACAGCCCTACGTGTACTGAACACTTAAATCAGATGTTCCTATGTTCCTATGTTGGGTAAAACAGCTCCAAAATTGAGACTTTATCTCTTTTTCTCTGCAAACCTGCCCCAGCCTTGGAGGTCCACTGCGTTTGCACTGATCATAACCAAAGGAGATCTGAAGGTAAACATCTGCTTTCTCATCCCCACCCTGATTTCCTTTCTAACCAGCTTATTAGCTGCAAGACCTATGTTCCCCCTAGGGCAGGGTTTCTCAACCAGGGTTCCTCCAGAGGGTTCTAGGGGTTCCTTGAGCAATGAGAATGGTGTTCCCACTGACACCATTGATCTTTTTATCTATCTATAAGGGGGTCATTCTTCCCAATGACCACAAGTGTAAGGAACATTCTTCCCACTGACCATCACACTAATCTATCATGAGCTGTAGGTATAGTTCCCTGAGACTGAAAATTATTATATCAAGGGTTCCTCTGTATTGAAAAGATTGATTAAGACTGTCCTAGGTTTTTATAGATTATATTCATAGAATTGCTCAATAACAAGTCTCATTACCTTGAAAGATCCATTTGGAGCAAAAGCAAAAAATGGCTGAAGAATGGTTGGATCCTTCTGGTCTTCTGTGAGCTGATCCTCACAGAAGACCACATACAGAATCACAAACAGTATGTTATTTTGGGCACTAACTCAGTTTTGGGTATATATTTTTTTGCACTGTTATTTATCTTATAGTTTATAGCTAGTAAATTTGCACATTTTTATTTATGTTGCATTATACACTTAGCTTTGGAGTTTTTTTGTCAAGCAGATAAATACACAGATATAATAGAGTATATGGTATAGAAGCTGTTCTACTTGCCAAAGGATTTGTCTGTCTGTCTATCCATTTCTGAGTTTTGCACAGCATTGCTGATTCTACTTCTGTTTCTCTTTGGTTTTCCTCTCTATGTTTGATAGTGACCAGAGACATGAAGTCTTCTTTTTTATTAATTACAGCAAATCATGAATACAGCCCTACGTGTACTGAACACTTAGATCAGATGTTCCTGTGTTGGATAAAACAGCTCCAAAATTGAGACTTTATCTGTTTTTCTCTGCAAACCTGCCCCAGCCTTGGAGGTCCACTGCGTTTGCACTGATCGTAACCAAAGGAGATCTGAAGGTAAACATCTGCTCTCTCATCCCCACCATGATTTTCTTTCTAACCAGTTTATTAGCTGCTAGACCTATGGTCCCTGTAAGGAAAGGCCTGCCCGCAGTGCAGGTGAAGTTCCATAGTGCACAAATATGCACATGCGCAGAGTCCTTATGCGCTAAACAGATCTGCAGGCACTTGGACATAGGCGCGCACACGTGCGCGCGCATGCGCACTCACGCATATGGACGCATGCCTGTCACTAATGCTGGCGCCAAAAGGGCTATTTAAACTGGCTGCAGTAGTTGTCCCATTGCCATATGGTCTTTTCCCTGCTCGTGTTCCCTGATTCCTGTGATTGTCTCCTGATACTGAAACAGCCTGTTCCTGATCTCCGCTTGATTGCTACCTGCCCTGACCTCTGGCTTGTCTTGGATTATTCTTCTGTCTCCGCTCCTGTCTGATTGATCTTCCATTGCTGACCTGGCCTGTTACATGACTACTCTTCCTCCTGCCGCTGTAAGCCTAATCTGCCTGACCAATACCGAACCCGGCTTGTCTGACCCTGCATCCTCAGCATGCTGCGCTCGGGTATCCATCCATTCAGCAAGGCTACATCAGAACCCTGCTCCCTGCCTACAACTCATCAGCTTACCCGCTACTACTGGACTGATCACAGGCACACATACCCCACCGTGTTGTCCCTGCGACCGCTGTCTCACCATCAGCGGTCCTTAAGCCGGAGTTGTACGAGAGGTTTGCCTCTTCACGTCAGGCTCACTATCCAGGTACGTGACAGTCCCCCTAGGGCAGGGTTTCTCAACCAGGGTTCCTCCAGAGGTTTCTGGGGTTCCTTGAGCAATGAGAACTTTCTGCCTCTCAGATAAGTTCCCACTGACACCTTGATCTTTTTATCTATCTATAAGGGGGTCATTCTTCCCAATGACCACAAGTGTAAGGAACATTTTTCCCACTGACCATCACACTAATCTATCATGAGCTGTAGGCATAGTAATTTTTAGTGGGGTTCCCTGAGACTGAAATTTATTATATCAAGGGTTCCTCTGTGTTGAAAAGATTGATAAAGACTGTCCTAGGGTTTTACACATTATATTCATAGAATTGCTCAAGACTCTGCTCTCTCCTGGCTCTCTTCCTATCTATCACAATGCTCCTTCAGTGTTACCTATAACGCTGCCACCTCCACCTCACTCCCCCTCTGTTGGGGTCCCACAAGGTTCTTTCCTCGGGCCCCTTCTCTTCCCCATCTACACCTCCTCACTTGGTCAACTGATACACTCCCACGGCTTCAACTACCATCTCTATGCCGATGACACTCAAATCTATCTCTCTACCCCTCGCCTCACCCTTCAGTCTCCGCCCGAATCACTAGCCTTCTGAACAACATATCAGACTGGATGTCACTCCACTTCCTCAAATTAAACCTTGCCAAAACCGAGCTCCTAGTTTTCCCCCCAGCCCGTGCCCCCCCCCCCCCCCTCATCCGACCTCTCCATCACGACCAACAACGCCACCATCAGCCCCCACACCGCAAGCCAGAGTACTAGGTGTCATTCTAGACTCCAATCTGTCTTTCTAGCCCCAGATCCAATCGCTGAAAAATTCATGCAGACGCCACCTCTGTAACATCTCCACAATACGCACGTTCCTAACTTCAGAAACTACAAAGCAACTCGTGCACTCCCTTATCATATCACGACTTGACTACTGTAACTCCCTCCTCGCTGGCCTACCCCAACACAGGCTTTCCCCGCTTCAGTCTATCCTGAATTCTGCAGCCAGACTCATCCACCTTACCAACCGCTCCGTATCTGCGACCCCTCTCTGCCAATCCCTCCACTGGCTTCCGATTGCCCAACGCATACAATTCAAAATACTAACATTGACGTACAAAGCTGTTCATAATACTGCCCAAACTACATCACCGACCTGATATCCAAATACAACCCAAAACGCACTCTCTGCTCCTCACAAGACCTCCTACTCTCCAGCTCCCTGGTCTCCTCCTCCCATGCCCGCCTCCAGGACTTCTCCAGGGCTTCCCCCATCCTCTGGAACTCACTACCCCAATCCATCTGTCACCTACCCTCCTCACCTTTAGGCGCACCCTGAAAACCCATCTCTTCAGAGAAGCCTACCCCGCCCTCACCTAACTGCTGATCGCCTCCGCTCTCCCCACCACTCCATCCCCCACAGCTATTTCATCCTGTACCACTATCCCCTCCCTCCTAGATTGTAAGCTCCAAGGAGCAGGGCCCTCAAACCCCTCGTGTATCGCATTGTATTGTTACTGTACTGTCTCATGTATTGTCTCCCGTTGTAATGTAAAGCGCTGAGCAAACTGTTGGAGCTATATAAATACTGTATAATAATAATAACAAGTCTCATTACCTTGACAGATCCATTGGGAGCAAAAGCAAGAAACGGCTGAAGAATGGTTGGATCTTTCTGGTCTTCTGTGAGCTGATCCTCTGTAGGATTAGCTGTAAATGGGTTGTTACCATCCGGGGTCACTGTGGATAACACAGCAGGATTTCATTTAGAAGTTGAGGACCACTGGCCCTGATCAGGCCAGAAATACTAGAAACA